AAGCTTCCCAGACATCACTAGGTTGATCGGATAATGACATCCTCGGTACGTTGTCTTGGAGAGGCGGAGACTGTTGCGGATCGTGCAGAATGAAGGCGGTGGTGACGAGATGTTCGCTAATGAGATATGGTGTTCCCGATGAAAGGTTTGAGTAAGAGTCCAGGCGATAGATGCACCACCAGATCGCGCGCCATTCGTCCAAGTCTTCCTCGCTCACGGCGCTCCACTCAGGCTGTAATGAGCGCGGATTCTGCAGCTGATCAAGTCCAACACGAAGGGCCATGCGCGTCAAAGCGCCGATCCGCATCCAGGACTGATGTCCCGGGAACTGATGGAATTCATAAACGGCGAGTATACATGACTTGCGAAATTGATCAAGTACTGGGGTATCAGAGAACAGGTTGTCCTGTACTGCTGTTGAGCTCAGCAGCAGATCAATCCGGTCATCCACGGCAACGCTCTCTTGGAGCGACAAAGACTTAGTGAGCCTCGCACTAATCGTGGTGATCGTAGATATAAGGCCACTATCACAGAGTGAATGGCGATAGTTGTTAAGAAAGCGGCTTCGGGAGAAGATGGGGTTGGCATCTTGGAGAATATCGAAGAACGTCAAGACGCTGGCGGGAATAGCGGTGTTAGCTGTGATCAGATGTAGAAATGCAGGATTCTTACAGGTCTTCTTCCTCGGTAGAACTGGCGTCCAAATTAGAGTAGGTTGGTAATTCTTGATTTGGCAAAAGATGCGACGCAAGATGGCCTGCCGTAGAAGCCGAATGCGCCGGAGAAGGGAATTGTGTAACGATCTGATCCTCTTCGTGGTTCCGCTGATGACCTGACCCGGAACGAGCAATGTCAGTAACAGGTTTGTTACATGCACACCAAGTGCCCACCCATGAAGCTCTTCAGGCTGAGAACCAAGGAAGGCACCTACCGGGGTTTGTTAGCGGCGTTGATGTGGTGGAGCGGTGATGCGAGCCTGGAGGTGGACCAGGCTTGCGGCGCTTTGAAGAGTAAGCGCATGTGACTCCTCGTTCAGAGCAGTGCGAGCACTTCGGACGAGCTTGGTTGCCTGCCGGCCGGTCAAAGTCAACGGACAAACAGACAAGGTAGGAGTAGGGCACAACTTGACTGACACTTCACTTTCTTGCTAAACGACTCATTAGTGTGCATGGAAAGTGCAGAGGAGAAGTACGTTACCGTATGCAAGTATCACAGACTCTCAAATTCGTAGCTTGCGTCTCCCCGTCATTGCTCGTGAAACCTGCTGAGGTTGGCTTGGTAGACTGTCGAGGAATCGCTGGCTCCGAATTGGCAGCCATCTTGAACGTTGCACGTTAGTGTCGGCGCATATATTGCTATGCGTGCGCGGAGGAATGAAGCAGAACGAGGTCGAACGCAGGTGGCCCTTGCGAGGAACGTGGCCGTTCTTGCGGTAATTTGATGCTGCATCAGAAGATCAGCCGTGCGGAGTTCCTCCGGTGGAAGGGAAGTTCTTCCGATGACTGACGCTAACGATAATTGGTTAGTTATCTACACAACGGACTTGCATGCCTCCCGATGATCTTCGTCGTTCTACAAGGCTCATTTCTCCCTGGACTTCGGAGTAATTATTGCTGCAAAGAGCGTTTGTGATTAAAGGCGCTGGTTTAGCCTCACCCACCTCCATCAATCGCTTTTGGATTTGAAACGTTTCAAGATATCATGGCCTCATTCTCCCGCCTAGTGCGCTTTACTTGCGAGGATGGAAACTCATACTTCGCTGATCTTGGGCCTGTTGGCAACGAAACGCCTATCCCAGGAACCCACCTCGAAGCATTTCGATCCTACGAGAATCTACAAACGAAGACTGACGCAAAGAAAGTCACTATCCAAAAAGTACCGCACTGCGACACCTGCATAGATTCCTCGTGCTAATCTTATCTATAGCTGCTGGCACCCCTACCACATGATGGAGTTCCAATATACTGTATTGGCTTGAACTTTCGCAGTCACGCCAAGGAAGCATCGGTTCGTCATTCATGGAACTCATTGAGAACCCCCTACTTGCAATACCCTTCTAACTCTTGTCGACGTCAAGCTCACCATACCGTCCAACCCACCGCTTTGGACGAAGCCTGCTGCATCTCTTGCGCATCCGAACGAGGAGATACCGATCAACGACTTCTGCGCTCGGAGTCTTCCTGATTATGAGGTACGATGCCGTGTAAAGTGTATCCTCACTATATGTGATTATGCTGACACGAGAATGCATGGTTCAGGGCGAGCTCGTCTTCGTTACTTCTGAAGAGTGTAAAGATGTTACCGAGAGTCAAGCCAAGGACTATATCCTCGGCTACACAATTGGGAACGACCTCACGTGCCGTATGTTCCAGCTTCCAGGTAACATGAGTGGTCAGTTCTTCTTCGCCAAAGCATTTGACCATTTTGCGCCTATTGATCCAGTCCTTATCAGCCCGAAGCTGTTTGAGTCTGTGAAGAGAAACGGGCTCACGTTGAAAGTGAATGGGGAAGTGCGGCAAAAAGCAGACCTCCATAATGACATGATCTTTTCACCAGAGAGAATACTCAGCCACATGAGCCAAGGCACCACTATACCAGCAGGTACGGCAGTCATGACAGGTACATGTGAAGGTGTAGGCGCTTTCCGCAAACCGAAGGTTTTCCTGCAACAAGGGGATGTTGTAGAAGTTTCCATGCCACTGGCTGGGACTCTCAGGAATACAATCAAGTTGGAGTAGGTAAGCCTAGAAGAAATGAGCAGTTTCCGAGTGGTACACATTGCTGACAACGTTCTGGAGTGTGAATTTCATATCTCGAATTGTGGTATGGTTACAGTGGTACGTATTGCAGATAGCGACGCGATGGGGTTGAGGGTCATGTCTACTCTCCGAAGTTATATTACTAGCGGGTGAGTGAAACTTGTCATAGAAATACCATCGTGATTGAATAGTCGGCGAGGCGCAGATAAACAAGGGCGATATGGCAGAATGTGGCGTAGTGATGTACCCCGAGTGCTCTACAATCAGAACCATAAACTGAGTTTTGATGTTCCAGGTATCGATGCATGCTTATTGTAACCACAGGAGATGCGATGAGCATTTCATGATATCGGAATTGACAAATGATGAAAGAGTACAATACACGGTCGGCAGGCGGCATTCTCCTGACCCTGGTACGATGCGACACAGTTTCCTTGCGGGTCGCTGCCCACATTTTAACCTTCAACCAGACAACAGCACATACGATTACACCACCAATGCGCGGTGACGCCTTGGGTTTCTCAGTATACACGGCGTATTTGCCCTACGTTCAACAAGAGGAGGTGGTCGGGGCGACTACACCACTAGGTTTGTGTCAGGCTGATCTGTGCCTCACCATTCGACGTAATATCCCGGCACTGAATGAGTTCCTGCTCAAGCACTTGCTTTCGCGTCAAGGAAAAGCTCTTATCCCTCCAAAAATCCTTTCAAGCATGTCATTTATATTATCGGCTCTATACAGACCATACGACAACTCGAAGGCATGCGATCCTCACAATCAGGTTGACATATCTTCTCCTTCTCAAGAGAGTCGCGTCCGCAATGTGTGCAAGCACTTCTTCAGCTCCCCAATGTCTTTTGCGCAGGCATATACGAAGAAATCAGGCCTAATCACCGCAAACCTGGTGTTCGTCCCCAGGCGATCGATGAAAGATGAACGATCATAACCTAGTTTGTCTCCTGCCACACTAATCCAATCATCCGCTGGCCAGAACAATTCCATGTAAGATTCAAGACTCTTCAAGTCCTCTTGTGACGTATCCACAGGTGCGGGGCTAAATATCAATATCGACTCCGCGGAGATGACGGCAGGACTAAGCGATGCTTCATTGACGGCCGTCTTGGCTTCCATATAATGCTTGTGGTGATTCCCATTGCTGATAACCAGGAGTCGCAATCCGTTTTGATTTGATTGAAGCATTTGATCGGAGAGCATGAGACCTTGTCGGTGCGACTGCACCACAATCTGAGCTAGTCGACACCCACCACGGTGTCCTTTGATGAGGAAGCCGTGGTCGACGTTGGTAAAACCCTCACACTCTTTGACTACCTGGATATCCAGACGAAGGCCCAAATACGGAATCAAGCTCAGAAAGTCGATTATTCGAAGTAAAGCCAACATCCAGAAAGTTGGCTGATCGTTACATAATTGCCCATTCAACAGGGACAGAAACGCGGCGTCGTTCACGCTCTTTATTCTTTCCGCCTCCCAAGCTTCAAGTGCGGCATTCGCGACCTTCGGCGGCATGCTTGGATTCTTCAACAATAATGCCAGCCGCCACGACAGTTGATGTGCGTCCCGAATGCCACTGGCTATGCCTTGGCCAGCAAAAGGAGGAAAAATGTGGGCAGCGTCACCGATGAGAATTGTTTTGCCTGAAAACCATTTGTTGACCACTTTGTGGACGAAGTGGTATGGCCGACACCGGATGATTTCAATGCAGTCCTTAGGGTATTGGACCTGCTGAGAGAAGCTGATGCCTTTTTCATCTCTTTCCCTGGTTATCATTGGACCAAGATGTTCCCAAAGAAGCTCTGTAGCATCCATGTTGTCATTCCAGTCGTCTTGTCGAAACTCGTGGCGCCAGAGTCGTTCTTCATATGGCCCAAACCGTCCCGTGGCCGTAGGCTTGCCAGGTGGACTACAAAAGTGCCAACCCTCTGGCCAATATAGATCGTAGACCTTCTCCGGCGTATAACCAAAATTCCACAGCGGAAAGCTTGGATGGGTTTGAGGAGTTGGCAACTTGAGTTTTAAGTTCGCAGCGATCCACGTTCCTGAGTACCGATGGGCGCCCTCTTCTTGTTTAATGCCAGCGGATGCCTCGAGGAATCGTTTCCGAACTACGCCAGTTTTTCCGTCGGCACCAATCAGCCTTAGGGTGGCGTGCAAAATCAGTCTATATCTTCCATGCATTACGTGAATCGAGGTCTGCTTACCATTGGGCTTTAATATCGTGTTCGTGGCCATCTTTGGTGCGATAGGTAATAACTGGTGGCTCTTCTGCTACGCGATTAATCACTTCACACCCTGAGCGTAAGGTGCAGTAACTAGAAGCTTCGATCTGATGCCTCAAAGAAGTTTCTACAACAGTCAGAACTGGATCTGTGCCCTGTTAATTTCCGATCACCCACCCAAACGAGGCTGGATTTGCAGGATGCCGTTCGGTAATACCTGGTTCAGTGCGTCTGACCAGGTATGCAGGGTCTTGAACGGCTTCCCACTGATCGTAGTTCTGTGGAAGTTGACACTTTTATTCACTAATAAGACCCAGCTGTCAGCATTACGCGTTTGGCACTTTTGGTTCTCGCCATGCAACTTACCATGACCAATAGTTTCCAGATCAGGACCAAGCCCAAGACTGTGAAGTATTCTCACTGCGTCTCCACTAAGATATACTCCACGGGGATCGCTAGTAATATCGCTTCCTTTCTCCAAAATGACGGACTAGCTTCCGAATTAGACGCCAGCTCTCAACGGGAACTCAGTATTTTACCTTGATCTGTTGTCGTGCCAGACACAGCCCGAGAGTAAGCCCTGCAGGCCCTGCACCTACGATTGCTACTTGAGTTTCTTCGGACATATGGGCGATATTTTAATGAGCAACGTTTATGTCCTTTCTCGGCATACGAGACGCCTAGGAAGCGCCGTTTGATACCTTCATTCGATTCAACGCGGCCATCGTGAATTAAACGTGAGCAGCGGGTGCCACCGGGCGAACTCATCTACTCGCCTGCAAGCACGGCCGAAGTGAATTGCGGGGCCTGGGCGCCGACCCGTTCAACAGACGGTCCGAAAACTGTGGCTGCGTTACGATCTCGTGCGTTGTTCCGATTCTTCTCAACGGAGTTGCTCCGCGGACAAACCCCAGGACGCGGTCCTCACATCCGGTAAGCATGCAAAAGCCTACGTCACCTGTCGCATTACGCATACATGATGTGTAAAAGTATACTCGGGTTGGAATCGGTATCGTTCTTGAAAAACCAGGTAATTTTCTACTAGTCCATCCAGAACACTACTACGGCGTTTCAGAGCATGCGAAAGATCCCTACAACCACTACGACGAACCATACTTCGAGTCAGCCACTTCGGCTGCCATGTGGGATGACTCTTAAAACTCGTCTAGTGAAGTCCGCCATGTCCAAAAAGATGGCAATTGGAGGGAGACCAACAGCAGCACATCAACAAGCGTAAGCACGCTGGGCGCAAGTTCGATGGGGCATGTTGATCACTGGCTGGTGCAAGAAGCATAGCGCGGGAAGGCTTATGTCTCCAAGCAGTTCGAGAGATTCACAAAACCAACGAAGACCTTGTATTGATTGTTACAAAAGGTTTCAGAAGTCGCAACGGTGTGAATGGTGTCCTCAATAGTAAAGCTTGCAACCTTGTTGGTCTAGCTCAGCCTGCCGTAAAGTAGCCGGATTTACCCAGGGATATTATGTTCAACAATGCATTTTCTGAAAATGAAGCAAGATTTGATGTCGAAACAGCGCCATCCCCCGGATGGATTGCGACTAAGATACGATCTGTTTGTGCTGGCGCCGAAATTAGGAATGAACATGTGTCCGCAGCGAGTTCACTAGGGGTTAGCCCTCTCTTGGAACTCACTGATCGCATACAGGAATACTGGGGAGCTCAGATTCTCAAGCCGTCACGATAAAGATTGGACTAACGGCAAATTATCCGATATGTAGATATTGAGGTAAAAAAGTAGAGTCGGAAGGTTGTATGCGTTTCAAAAATTTCCAATCATATAGAGACGCTTCTAGCACGCGCCATTCTTGTGCTTATCACATGCTGTCATCTAGGCAATTGTCCCCAATTAGCAGGAGAGCGGGAGCAAGCTAATACGTGATGAGCAGCATGGCTTCAAATCCGGCTCGCAGCCGCTCTAAGAGAAAGACCAAGCTCCTATGCAGACAAGTCAGTGGGAAGATAATCCGAGTGGGTGGATCCTCCGGTGGCGGCGCACGGTCGAATTAAAATCCTCCGAAACACATCAATTGAACCCGCACTCTGGTTTTCGACCGAGATCACCGATGAGTACGTCTTCGTGCAAAATGTTCGGCAAGCATTGAGATCGGAATTCGTGCGGCTGTACTTGGAGCAAGATGATTATTTATATGTGGTTAAGTGCTTGAGCACAAACGGCAACGATGTCTATACTGTTTGGATTGCTCTTCAACATCCTCTCGAAACTCCCAAGATCTATTCGCGAACGTATCATGCCTGACATGCGCATTCCACCAATCGCCAATAATCCTTCCAAGGTTCAATTGGACCATCTCGCTCATGTCCACTTCGAGCATCCAGACCTTGACAAATTCGGCAAGTTTGCCAAAGACTTCGGGCTCATCGAGACGAAAAGAACCAAGAACCAGATCTATTACCGCGGATATGGCAAGGATCCATATGTGTACGTCTCAACCAAGAGCAATGACGGAAAGGCACGCTTTCGCGGCCCAGCCTTTGTTGCTCGAACACTTGAAGATTTTGAGAAGGCTGCAAAGCTCCCCGGAGCAAGCATGGGTACTTTGGACGACGCGCCGGGCGGAGGCGAGATCATAACTTTCAATCGACCGGACAGCACCTATTTCCACATCATCTACGGTCAAGAAGAGCGGGCGATGGATTTGAAAGAGGCAACAGCCCAAACTGAGGAGCTAGGACCATACAATACCGCTTTCGACAAGCCAAGGAAAGGTCAGTTGCACCAGACGCCGAAAGATAGCGGAATAAACACTTAACACACCGTAGGCAAGTTCCAGCGATTCCACCCGGGCCCTGCGCTAGTCCATAAAGTCGGGCATTTTGGTTACGTCTGCCCAATCTTCGACGAGGAACTAGCATGGTACACTGACAACTTCAATTTCGTACCTTCGGACATTCTGTATCATTGGGACTTCTCGAACATGGATGTGTTAACATTCATGCACCTCGATCTCGGCGAGGAATATTCTGACCACCACACCTTCTTCATGCAGCGAGCAGAGCCTGACGTCAAGAAGACTTTCTTGCATCATACTTCGTTCGAGGTTACGGATATGGATTCGCAGCTCATTGGGCACGACTGGCTAGCGAAGCATGGATGGAAGAGCATTTGGGGCGTCGGTCGGCACGTTTTGGGCAGTCAGATCTTTGACTACTGGGCTGATCCGAGCGGATTCAAGATTGAGCACTACGCGGATGGTGACTTAGTGAACACGCATACGCCGACGAACAGGGATGTTGTTGGACCTCTCTCGATTTGGGGACCAGAGGTCCCCAAGGACTTTGGTAAACAATTAACTTAACGTCCACTGTAGAATGAAGCCCAGAGATAGTGATTAAGGCATCTTACAGGCGATCTAATTTCCTGTTGTGTGCAGCCCCTCAAACACCAGGGTATGGCCAATTGATACACGGCATAAAAAACGCCAAAAGATTTCCTCATTCGGCCCCAATACACGTCCACGTAAAACGGTACAGACAGAAAGTCGTACCCATGTGATGTACATGATATCCTTCGGAGATACGAGCATTGGCAGCTTGTTTGAGGGAGATAGACGTTCAGAGTACCGTTAGAAGTGGGGCGAAGTCGATACAGCATCCCGTTCAGGCAGGTGCTTTAGAGATCGCGTCTTAGCCACGCAGATCGCGTAATCATGCACCTAGATTTGCGAAGCATCTTGGCACACGGCTCATCCAGCATATTAAATAACATACTCAGCTTCCAACATGAATTTGCAGGAACAACTCCAAGATGTTGTTCACCCAGCTCCTCACCGCAGCCGTTCTCGCGGTCACCGGTATCGCAACTCCAATCGGCCCTTCCAATGGCAAAAACACAACGTACATCGGACCTGAGAATGGACATCTCGTAATCGTCGGCGGCAACTTGAAGAGCGATAGGATCTGGGAGCGCATAATTACACTCGCCGGCGGCCCAAATTCATCCATTGTAGTCGTACCAACCGCAGGAGGTGACCCAACCTACAACTCCAGCTTCCCAGCCGCTCTCTCTCTCCAACGCCTCGGAGCAAAAGTAACAGTCCTACATACCTACGACCCCGCGGTCGCCGACACGGATGAGTTCATCGCCGGCCCCTCGCAACCGCAACTGGCATCTTCTTCGGCGGGCGGCAGACAGTGGCGCCTCGTCGACGCCTACGCCGGCACAAAAAGCCGAATCCGCATTTCAATCCGTCCTCGACCGCGGCGGCGTGATCTCAGGCTCCAGCGCGGGTGCCAGCATTATTGGCAGTTTCCTGGCCCGTGGCGACACGCGCAACAATACCATCATGATTGGCGACCACACCGTTGGCTTCGGATATCTCAAGAATGCCGCGATTGACCAGCACGTGTTGGTGCGCAACAGGCACTTTGACATGTTTGAGATCCTGAATGCGAACCCGGAGTTGTGGGGCGTGGCAATTGATGAAGACACTGCATTGATTGTGCGCCAGAACGAGGCGGAGGTGTTCGGTAACACGTATGCACTTGTCTATGATGGGGGCTTTTGGTCGAGAGAAGGGACGTCGTTTAACAATGTCCCGCCGCCGAATGCGAGATTTTACTTTCTGAAGGAGGGTGACAAGTATGATCTTGTAAAGAGGGAGGTTATCGTGCCAGCAGCAAAGAGAGATGTCGACGAGGAGTGGTGAAATTTGCTTTCGCTTGGAAAGGATGGTAGTGATTCGGGCTAAGTCGTAGTGAAGTCGATAGACGCAACCATCGAGACTGTCTTCAGGGTACATCCGTGGACATGGTGGATGAGGAGGTGCAGCAACGAGTGTGTACCATCCATGGTCGTGAAGCATTACCCTTTGCACTTGCAATGTTTCTACATATTATGGGCTGGAAATGAGTGGGAGATGGATTAATCAATGGAAGAAACGTCGATGATGAAATGAGGACGCGTGAGTGCTGAAGTTCAGCGTCTGCAGAGCGGATCAAGCCTAGGTTCGGCTGTCATCGTGCTGTTTCCGCCATCTTTGTACCAGCTTAGAACATGTGTTTTTAGACTTTTTCGATGGATGACAACCGATGAGGAACAAGATGTGATACCGTACGGCGCGTGTTTGTGGTTGAGTGTTGCTTCAGATTCGTGCCTCGGCATCTTTCGGTTTCTCCTCAAATAGAAGCGAAGAAATGGATCACGCTAGCAATAATCCGTATCTCACACGACTTCATGGCAGTTTCCTGCAAGTAATCATCACGTTCAAATAGTGTTTGACCAGTTACATGCTCCACCCCAAACGTTAATTCTGCGTCTCAGAAGCTTACACAATGACTATCGACGTAAGTGTAGCAAGCATCGTAAGCGGAATTAGCTCCACTAACTCCGTCAAGGTTATCGCTATTCTGAAGCCCAAAGCTGGCAAGGCAGATAGGGTAAGTCAACATATCGAGTTTTCACGACACATACTAACGACATAAAGGTGGAAGAGCTCCTCCTCAAGGCCGCCGAATCTGTAAAGGCCAACGAGCCTGGCACGTTGAAGTACCATCTGCAGAGGGAGATCCAGGGCGATGCGCCAACGTTCGTCATGCTTGAGACGTGAGTTACATCTGCGCTGCGGTCATTCGCGTAACTGATTCATGGCAGGTACACGGACAATGAGGCCATCAAGATTCATGGTCAAAGCGACTATTTCAAAGCCATGGGCAAAGCGTTCAAGACAGAGGATCTACTGGCCGAGCCGATGAAGGTCATGATGACAAAGGAGGCGGGTGGATATGCTAGCAAACTCTAAGCATGTTAATTTCACTTGAGATAAATTCAAACACGCAGTATCTTGAGCGCTCTTCTTGCGATGTCTCCCTCATGCATGTTGAGATAGCGTGGTAGATATCTCCACGTGGCTCAACCCTGCATTATTTAGAGCATTTGGTATTTTGCGAGGTGGTTGCCTCTCGTGGTCTCTTGGGTTTAGAAGGTGCCACGATCCATCCGCTCAAGCTTCTTAGTTGCTCAACATGATGTGTATGATTATCAAGCACTTTGACTTGACCATAGAAATATTATCCTAGGAACCTTAGGTATAGTTCTGATAATCGTATTTCGACACATGTTGCTTAATCATCGATTATGCTCCGGTTTTGGCGCTCTCGCACAGTCCATACGTCCCATAGAAGAGCACGCAGTTGACGAACTCGCAGTACACATACACAATGAAAGCTGTCACCGTTGCATATTGCGAGGGTCAATCACCTTACATAACGGATGAGGCTATCAAAAAGACAGGTGCGATTTTACCGTGATTTTGTCCAAGTGTAAAGCGGCAAGACTGACCATTGAGATCTGGATGCCTGCCCTGCGGGAAGACAATTGGAAGTGGCCTTGGCAGTGTCGCAGCCTCACCATCACCTCACACCTCTGCCTAGGTAGGTATGGCGCGTAGGTTCCTCACCGTTGTACCTGTTTGTGATATCTTGAATTCTTCCTTCAATGCATTTTACTTTTGTTGCGCAGCTCATCGCCATGTTGGAAGTCAAGTTGTCGAATAGATGCGGGGCAACTGAGAGCTAACTAGAACGAGATGCCTCGGATATATTCGTCCACCAACATGACGTTGCCGGCGCATCTCGGTCACAACGCCTGAGTCGCAAACTGCATCATCGAAAACAATTTATTCGCTTCTTATTCTCTCAATCACATCTTGCTCAGATTTCATTCGAAGCAAACCACAATGAGGCCTCCATCTCAATTCCACGGCTGGCTAGGCCACGACAAGACCGCCGCCGCGGGCAACATGACCTGGTCCGCTTTCACGCCGAAGCCCTTGAACAACATCGACATCGACATCAAAGTGAGCCACTGCGGTATCTGTGGCACGCGATATTCATACCCTCCGTTCTGGTTGGGGCAATACCCACTACCCCGTGTGCGTCGGCCATGAAATCGTTGGTCACGTGGTGTCTCTCGGCAGCAGCGTCACCACCCTCAAGCTCGGTGACAGAGTCGGCGTGGGTGCGCAAGCCTTCTCATGCCTGAAAGACGACTGCGATGAATGCAGGGGCGGATTAGAACAGCATTGTACAAAAATGGTCGGCACGTACAATGGCCAGTATCCAGATGGCAGCTGGAGCATGGGCGGGTATGCGGATTACGTTAGAGTGCCGGCGCATTTTGCAATCAAAATTCCAGATGCAATTTCCTCGGAAGATGCTGCGCCAATGATGTGTGGTGGCATTACGGTATATGCTCCATTGATCAACAATGGTGCCGGGCCAGGAAAAGCAGTCGGCATCATAGGATTTGGTGGACTAGGCCATTTTGGAATTTTGTTCGCGAAGGCGCTCGGGTGCGAAACAGTGGTTGCGATTAGTAGGAAGAGAAATAAGGTAGATGACGCGAAGGCCATGGGCGCGACGGAATACATTGCGACGTCAGAAGACGAGAAATGGGCGCGCAACCACGCTAGGAGTCTCGATCTCATTATTAGTACTGTTTCCTCGCCTGATATGCCGCTAGAATCGTACTTGCGACTCCTCAAGACAGGCGGACAGTTCATTCAAGTTGGCGCACCTGAGGACAAGCTACCGCCCATCGCGGCGTTTGGGCTGATTGGCAAGGGCTGTAAGATTGGAGGCAGTCAGATTGGTAGTACAAAAGAGATTGAGGCGATGCTGAAGTTTGCGGCAGACAAGGGGGTGAAGCCATGGGTGCAGACAAGAAGTATGAAGAAGGCGAACGAGAGTGTGGTGGATATGGAGGACGGAAAGGCGAGGTACAGATACGTGCTCGTCAGCGAGGATGGGGAGAGGGCAAAGATGTAGATGGTGCAGCCAGTTTAGATACTAAATAGGATATGTAGACTGTACCAATATCAGTACATTTGCCTGATAAGAGCTACATCTTTCATGTCCTGAACATTTGTGAACGCCTTATGTGTACTCTCCGCTCGTTGCTCGCCAATGGCAAGCGTGACTTGCTCCATGAACTTCTTTTGCAGCTCTTCATTAGTCAGTGGATTTTCGATACTTCCCTTCGCATGCTCGATGTGCTTGTCTAGAGTCGTGCCATCGTTGAACTTTGGGCTCACAAACGCTTCGGCTTTCGAGACGCTGTCGTCTTCGCTAACATTGATCTTTTTGCGCATATCCACAACGGTTGCGTTCTTAACCACGTCATTGGTGAATTGAGATGGTATAGTTTCGCCGTAAAGCAGTCCAATGGCGGCGGCGTGATATATGCTGAACTTTCCTTCAAGTCCAGTCTGTCGACTCATTTTCCCAGTCAGGTTAAGGACTTCAGGGTTGACTCGCAATTCGACGCTTTTGATGTCGTTCGCAGACTTCTCTCCTGCCGACATTTGATTCCTGAGTTGAATAGCGCCGTCTATAACAGGATGCATAACGATACCGCAAGGGAATAGCTTGAAGGTGTTCTTCTCAATCTCTCAAACCTTCCCGAGCTGGTCGAAATACGCTGTAGAATTCTCGCGCGTACTGACCACATGGAGCCAGCCATACTTCGCTTCCAGTGCCTGGACAGAAGGTGTATACCCATTTTGCGCGAGCAACGCAGCCACCATTCCTCCTTGAGCAGCGCAGCCAATGTGAAACGACTTTGTGTCCGAACCGAAGAACTCCTGCATACCCACGACTTGGGTTGATGCAACGCCAATAGCACGTTGCATGTGCGTAGTACCAACACCAAATAATTTTCCTAGTGCCACAGCAGCACCGAGACAGTCTGTGGTGGATGTGATGTGCCAGCCGGCGTCGTAGTGTTCAGGAGAAACCGATAGCCCAAGTTTACATTCTGCTTCGATGCCCACAACAAACGCTGTGATGAAGTCATGTCCTGTCACAGGTCCGTACGCCTCAGCGATGGCGAGCAACGCGCTTGTATCTGGACTGGCAGGATGGATGATTGTCTCAAGATGTGTGTCGTCGTAATCGCCGACATGACTTGCGATGCCATTTACGAGGGCGGCAACTTGCGCATCAGCAAAGCCTTGAGAGATCGATCCATTGGCGCCGAGAATTGACGATGTCGGTGGTCCAGAGAACGGTGACAATGTGGTATTCAGAGCAATTTGCAGAGCAGGCTTGAAAGCAAAGCCGCCAATTGCGCATCCCGTCCAGTTGTAAAAAGATTTGTTAGCTGCTGTGAGAACGCCAGGCGTGAGGTCAGTATAGGCCAGGTTTGTTACCCAGGATGCAAGCTGTAACGTAGCCATGACATGATAGGAAGTCCACTAGAGACGAGGAAACTATGCCATATCAGGGTTGAACGGCTGTACTTGTAGTATTTGATAACTTCAGTTGACGATAGAGCCGCCAGGTTGTGGAGCCGTCGATCGTGTGAAGGACGCGAGAAGCTCTGGTCAGCAGGAGATCGACATGTACGCATGCGCTGGATAAGTTATCCTAGCATCATACTATGGCGCAAGATGGCCGAAGTATCCATAATGGTCTGCGCGAAGTTTGGGGGAAGGACGGAGATAGGCATCAGAGGCGGCGCAGGTTTGCTGGAACACCAGCGGCTGCGGGCTAGCGGCCGCAAAAGAAAGTTTGCGCCACGCAGATCTTCCGAGGACTACGACCACCATCCAAAGATCTCTCACATCAGGCAGTCAGTTTGAAGAATTCAGCTTGGAGAATCCTGCGCATTGAGTGACTGCGTCAAGAAAACTGCGTCAGGATGACTGCCCACGAAAAGAACAGATTGATGGATTCCGTGAAGGATAAGTCGTTGTGTACATTAAGTCTATGATGGTGAAGCTAAAATCGTTCATGAATAATCGCCGGCCTCCCTCTCTCGTCGTCTCCTAAGCTCGAATTACTGTCATTGTCCAATGTTTGCCCGTGATTCATACTTTGATTGCGTGTAATTGGAATCCGAATCTCGGAGCGTTCCGCGACAACTGTGGTCGACACGCTCTTGTTGATTCCATTTCTCCACTGTTCGGGTGATACTCCAGTGTCCAGGAATACCTTTTTATCCGAGTCCTCGCTAGCTCTTCCCCCTGTAATGGTTGTCTTTGTTACACCTCGCTCGGCTGCTGGCCTGAGCCGGTCGAGTGGCTGCATGCTGCTGAAATGCGAGCTCTTCTTCCTGCTCCACCACTTTCCAGAAGAGTTCTGACCGCTGGATCCGAGGGACGACTTCAGGAGAGGTCGAAGGGTAGCTATGCATCCTGCTGAGATGCCAATACCTACTTCTACTGTTGTCCAAATCGCAAAATCTGTTGTGCGGTAGAGAAAGTCTCCCTTGTATGGTTTGAGGGTCGATGTGTAAGGCAGACGGATCACTGTTGCTGTGGAACCACTGCATTGGGTTATTAGCGAAGGGTTCTCGAGTCGTGTATGGCCGGAGAGTAGAGCCGAGATACACAAAACTGTAGGGCTACTCACATTGCAGCCAACCCAATGATGCCACTCACGACCACTTTGGCACGTTTCTTCATCTGGAGATCCTTGACGATGAAGATAGGGAGGATTCCAAACGTCCAGTCCGCAAATGAGTTCAGACCAGAGACGGCGTATGTAAATATGACAACCAGATTTGCGGAAAGACAGCGGCCATTGCTATTCGGATCCAGGTCCCACCAGAACGAGATCGGGTTGCACTGGAACACGACCAAGAGTGTGTAGGCTATTCCAAGAAAGGCTGCGACGATCATGATGATGCGGATGATCCAAATGTGGATAGGATGGGTAGTAATGCGCAGCAAGAACAGCCCGACGGCGATCTTGAGCAACGACGTGGACAAAGTGTAGAAGACCTCGCAGAGGAACCAGAACTGCAGGGCTTTCTGGGCGGCCTCATCAGTGAGGTTCTCGCGAAGCTGGCCAGAACCGTGTACTGCTCCACCCAGTTGGCATGCGAGGTACGCGGTGAACAAGAACAGCGTGACGACCATGACTTGATCATCCAATCCAAAGGATTTGACCATAAAGGTTCTACACAATTTGTTAGAATAACACCGTATAGGGCTGCATATTGTGGAGAACGGACCGAACATAACATCGCAAACCCACAGTTACCCAAGTCAGAACGAGGAACGTTATTGCAACGCCCGCGATTTGACCGCCGCGATCATGGAACATATTGACCACTCCCTTGGCGTAACTCAATTGTCTTGAACAGGCAGAGGCCCGCTCGTCCGTTGCAGTACGGAGTATCGAATTTGTACCTGTGGTCGCCGCTGGCAATATGGCACAACGAGGTAAGTCAGGGAAGGTGTCTTGGAGGACGCGGAATGCGATCTTCCAGAGCTTTTGACAGAAACCATTCTCCTCCCTTTTCCAGTTCTTGTCCTTAGTGCCTCAGCAAAATCCCTCCCCACAGACATGCCGGTCGCCGTCTGCATGTTAGAGCAGAGCGAGAGCAGCAACTCGTCCGAATCTGGTACCAATGATGAGTATCTTGGAAGACACCCCAGCAAGGCGACAGTTTACCGAGAAACTCTAGGCCCGAATCGTCTTCTCCGACCCAGGCAATTGGTCGGGAACATTAATTTCGGGCCTACACGAATCGACTTCTCCACTGATCCTCAGAGTGACAACTCGATGGAACTGTAGCGCAAACATCTGCTACTCATGCGTCTGACGCTAAACTGTTCCCGCCGCTTCATTCTTCCCGTATGGAGAAGGTTCGAACGGCAACCCGCATCCAGGAACAAAAATCTCGGTCCACATCGGCCAGCGCCCGCTTGCTTTGATTTGCAAGCCATGCACAAATTTTGCCTAGGTGCTCCTCGGGAAGTTTTTCGAAGCCCTCGCTCGCTTAACCGGTCGTTTGATCGTTCGAGGTGGCTGCCGCGTCCCCGTTGCCACTGCCGTGGATGCCCTTAAACTTGTAAGCCCCACTCGACTCCTGCCAAAGCTAAAGGGATGCCGTTCGCACTCCACTTAACCAGTCTCCTCAAATCTGAAACATGCGTGTTGCGTGCATGGCTCGACTGGCGCTTCTGCTTCCGTTCGATTTCCCTCCTGACAGGCGTCTTGCGGCTGCATTTGCCTGAATTACCGCTTCTCGCCACTGTGCATCGCGATAATGCATCATTTGGCTCAACAACGATGGCTATTGCAGTTGGATCACTACTGAATATACATAGTTTGGATCCTTCGTTACCGCATAGACAATAGCATGACATACGCTATTACGTGGGCTGACCACGGTGTACCCTGCCCCAGCTAGGACAGGGGAAGTGCAGACATCTCTAGTTCACTCACAAAGATTCGCCCCTTTGTGTCGCGCTCACAGAAAAGGTTTTCCAGCGCCTCTGCCTGGGCCCTGAACTGATGCAACTTGATTGATACCTAAAGGTGTGCCATCTTATTCAGAGGTCGACCGATAGCTGGCACCACCACCAGTGTCACGCACGCCATCTGTAGGCAATTTTCGTCATTATCCTACCACAGATTTGCGCCATACCGACCACTGGAAGACTGTTGCATTGGTTCATTCGGCTTACTACCTTCGCTTTCTTATCTCTCGAGTGCGCAATTGGCCGTCTCCAGCTCCCATTCCGTGCTATCTTTCCTGCCACTGTGGTGTCATGGCAGCCAGTTTCGTGTCGCTCTACCCCTCGATTGGTCGTGTATTCCCGCAATCGCTTTCGTGTCTAAACTGCAGGTTTCGCCATGCAAGCCATTTCTTGTGCACACATCACGACAGAGAGGTTGCCTATCCAAGATGGCTTGTCTTGCATGAGAGTCGGAGCCTTATAGTCTTCCTGGCCATCTCACATCATGCATAGTTCATCTTGATTTATATCCGTACCACAAGCGACCACAATGAATATGACCAAAGAAGTCTCTCCGAATAGCACAGCGGTTGAAAAGGGCCACACTGCCGCACTGCCAGAACCTACTTGGCGTGGATGGCTCTAGGATACAGCCGATGCTTCTAGAGAAGAACGAAGGTTTCTTTTCAAGCTCGATGCTACACTACTGACATTTGGTACTCTCGGCATGCTCATCAAATCGATCGATACATCCAACATCACCAACGCTTTCGTCTCCGGCATGAAAGAAGACCTGGATTTGTATGGCAATGAGTACAATTACATTGTAGTCGCTTGGACTATCGGCTACATCATTGGGCAATTGCCATCGAACTTCATCTTGACTCGCGTACCCGCACATATGTGGATACCATTCCAGGAAGTCGGATGGACCGTGTTCACGTTTGCACTGGCAGGTGCCAAGTCCTATCGTGCGCTTTTGGGCCTTCGTTTTGTGGTCGAACTTTTCGAGGCAGGGTACTGGCCTGCGCTTTACTATGTGCTTGGGTCTTGGTATAACAAGTGTGTGTGCCCAGAGCAAGGTCGTCGTTGTCACGAGTACTGTCATTTTGTCGCAGGAGAGTTAGGTAAGCGCAACGGCATCCTCCAATCTGCGGTATCGATTGCACCGATCTTCAGTGGCTTCCTACAGGCGGGCATATACAATGGTCTTAACGATCATACTGGCCTGGCTGGATGGAGATGGCTTTTCGGTAAGCTTCAAGAGGCATCAGACAACTATATCACTAACATCAGCTTGGTCATTAATGGTGTCATTTCCATGCCGGTGGCTATCGCGGCGTATTTCTTCCTACCAGACACACCTGGGACAGCCAAGCCAAACTGGATTTTCACGGAGCGGGTAAGTAAACGCTCCGAATCGTTCCATGGATATAACGCTGAGACTTTGATTAGGACCTACATATTGCAAGAGAAAGGATGGCAAGAGCTGGTCGCAAACCTGAAGGCACCCCGTATACCGTAAAGACTATCTTCGAATATCTGACAAACTGGAAGACGCTTCTCTTCACCTTGATCTTCATGGTACAGCCCTTTGGTTCTCAACCATTCCAAGCCTTCGTCTTCTGGCTGAAAGCACATAACAAGAAGGGTCAATCCCCTGTCTACACTATAACACAGATCGTAAGTCGTTACCAGTCCCTTATGCTATCGTTATCTTGACAGCATTAACCTGAAATGAACAGAATACGTACCCTACTATCGGCAACGCCTTTACAGCAGTGTACGGCTTGTTATGCGTCTGGATCTCTGACGGGCCATTGAAAGGAAGACGATGGCCTGTCATCTTGTTCTCTAACATGATCGCCATCGTCATCTTCGCTTTACTTGCCGCGACCCCGGTCATGGGACCCTTTTCGCATCGCGCACCACTGTACATTGTATCTTCGATTGGGGGCAGCATGGTACCACTGACCTTGGCCTGGATGGCAGAGCTCCTTTTCGATAGCGCCGAGCAGAGAGCCTTCACTGCAGCATCAATGAACACTCTGCAATGTAAGCACGATCTTACCTGCCTATGACGCCTAATAATGGTACTTGCAGATACCTTTACGGCTTGGATACCACTAGTATGGTTCCAGCAGGTGCATCAGCCTTATGTCACTCCCGGTAACCACGCAGCAGCTGTCATTGCTGGTTTAAACCTCATCATTTTTACGACGATTGCTATGCTCGCACGCAGGGAAAGGTCGATCAAAGTGCGCGCTGGATCTGTGTCAGCTGAACCTGATGTAGTGTCTGATGGCAGCAGCGACGGCGACAAAGTGTCGCGCAATGTGGTCTTGATCCATCCGAAGGCTGTCGAAGTAATTGGCACCGCTGTGTAGTGAGAGATACACCTGGCAGGCGAATCACGAAGGAGAATCTCTTGAAGCTGATCTATTACAGTTTCCAACACGGGAATGTCGTGTTTTAACTTAATGCAATGTCAATGCACGAGGATAAGGCAGAGCAAAGGTTGACAGCCTTTTTTCTTCCATGCTCATTTCAACTATTACCCAATGCCGATCTAGCATCTTCGGTCTAAGCGATGCGGCTGAAGACTTCGCCAGCCTTGCTCATTTACCCCTTTCAGTGCTTGACTAACTCAAGCAAACGCACGGCAACGCGCCGTGGACCAATACCACTACAACTTTATCCCTAAACACTGCTTCCACTGAGTTCCACCGTTCAGGAAACATCGCGTCTTCAGAATTTATATCGCGAAGTGTGAATCTCGAGGACATCATTGTTGGGGAATATCGGGAGGTCATGGAGTTCGTTCAGATCAAAATCATTTTGGTGACCAAAATTATCGGCGCATGCGGACAGGCTCCTTAGTGAAAAATGCTATCTAAGCACTTAATAGAGTTGTGTCACTCTATTGTGGCGTCAAATCTTGCCTGAGGCAGAACTAGCGTCGGCAGCCCCGCGATGCTTGGAAGCTGTGCTTGTTTTCATCACTACGCGCGACACTAAATTCTTTTGGAATACAAAACCTTGTCTCTGGTTTTACATTGACAACAATTGTTGTTGTTTTGGCTCTCACCTTAGACTTTAAAGCGATTCGTCACGCGAAAACCCGAGTTTGATGAGCGTGCGAAGCTGCATACTGAAGTGCAGCGACCTGCGCAAATTTCCAGTGAATAGCGCGGAGTTTGTGGCGCTTGTGGCGCTTGTGGCTACACATTCATGGCTTGGGGCGTAGCAATAGGGGAGCTGAGTAGCGTTGCAAGCCTCACTTGGCTTGTTTTGCTTGTCTAATCTTCATCGCGAACGTCTATGATTCGCGTGAGTTGGATAAATAGCAAATGTTTGAGCTAGACTGACGCAGGTACGCTCTACGCGATGCTATCAAACTGTCCAATGTAGCGTTTGGGCGTCCACATCGTTCGATGGGCAAGAATAGCTGTCGCGCTGCTGATTGCGAAATCTGTATTGGTCCCTTTAATTCCATCTATGGCCTCGCAAGTGCTTCTTTTCGTATATCAACTGGTTTTTCACACGTTTTCTTTGTTCACGTCTTTGCCACCGTTGTAAGCGTCGTTCATATCACCATTGTTGCTTGCGATACGGTGCCATGCGAGCCATTATCCTTTGGGTCCTCACTGCTGCAGCAGTCGTTACTGCACAGTCAGTCACCAGCAATGGTCGCTGCGGCTCACTCCAAGGACATCTAACTTGCAAGGAAAGCGTTTTCGGGCGCTGCTGCTCGCGGTAAGAGACATTTGTCGTTGGGGTCTGGGGCAGACAGGCTAATTGAAGCCAGGTACGGATGGTGTGGGGATACCACTGGGTATTGCGGTGTTGGCTGTCAAAGCGGTTACGGCGCGTGTACACCGTCCTCGTCACCCCCCAAAAGCTCAGTCTCTACCGACGGGAGATGCGGGAGGAATGGCAAGACGTGTCACGGATCAGGCTTTGTCAGTTGCTGTTCGTCGAAAGATTGGTGTGGTGGTTCACCGAGCCACTGTGGAGTTGGTTGCAAATCATCCTTTGGCGCGTGTTCTCATGTGGCATCTACACTCCGCACCAGCTTTCGGTCTTCCACTTCCGCCTCTAGTCCGATCTCGTCTCCTTCTATCAAGATCTCCAAAAATGCCCGCTGCGGCTACCGGAATGGCATCAAAACGTCCAGCCTTGGGCAAAGCTGCTTGAACTCAAAGTGGGGTGACTGTTGTTCGCAGTATGTGTTACAAGGCAGCCATTCATAAATTCTATGCTGATATTGGAACAGGTACGGTTACTGCGGAAGTACTCCGGCATATTGCTCTACTGGCTGCCAGTCTGGGTGGGGTAGCTGCTCGCTTACACTCTCATCTTCGACGCCGGCCAAGTCACTCCCAACATCGTCTCAAAGCTCGACTCTTTCGTCCGCAAAGATTAAGTCTTCAACAAGCTCATCGAGTTCAACAGGAATGTCGTTGTCGCGAGCTTCAGCCGACACTTCGTCTGCCATAAGCTCGACAAAGACTTGGTCAGACGAAGGTTCGACATTGGCTGAATCAGCTGTGACCATGACCATTACCACAATCATCCAGTCATTTTCAGTAGCAGGCTCAGAATCTGACTCTATTCACACTCCCTCAATGTCCGTATCGCAGAGCGCGATCTTGCTATCCGTCTTGTCTTCTTTCGCCATCACACCAAGCACAAGCACCTCTGCGCCGGTGCCATCTTCGGCTACGATCAGCTCATCAACAGTAATACTGCTAGATCTATTCACATCCTTGGTTGTATCTACGACAGAAGTATCGTCTATCACACCGACTTCCTCTATCAGCAAGGCTAGTTCTGTGGAGCCATCCTCCAGCCTGATTACTGAGGGCTCAGAGACCACACCAGACTCGTCGGCGCTATTCAGCTCCATGCTAGACCCATTAAGTACTTTATCTCCAACAATTTTAGATAACGCAGCCACAGCGACTTCTTCTGCGGATATGCATTCGAGCACCCCGTCGGTGATGCCGACAAGCAATGTTGCGTCAAGCAGCGACGAGTCTTCATCCAACACTACACCTGCACCTTCACCCTCGTCTACAAGTGACATGGTCGAAACCATGTCCACAGAGTCCCCACCTGCGACCGTATCATCAAGCACCGCAACGCCATTGCCATCTCATGAGGATTCGTCAGGCAACACGGTATCTTCGCCAAATCCGGTCATGTCTTTCTCGACAACATTGGCACCGTCGTCGCAAATGGCCGAGGTGATGGCCAGTGGGTCGACTCCTGACGCTATTACAACAAGCGTAACGTATTCGTCAGCTTCTGCTGACGTTGTGTCGAGCACCATCACTGACTCGATGCTGCCGGCATCATCTCCTTCCAGCAGTTCGAAATCCTCGTGGATCAGTTTGACGTCACCCTCCACTGAAACCGAGACGTCATCTTTACCATCGCCAACCTCATCCTCAACCTCCTCAACCTCATCCTCAACAGTACACGACGCCGTTTCGACAACCTCTTCGATTATAGACGCTTCGATTATAGACGTATCGTCGACCTCCATTGATGTTACATCAGGCAGCCTGAAAACTTCAGTTTCCACGTTCTCTATTGATCCATTTCAGACTCCATCTACCAGTATGGATATTACTTCAACAGAGTCTGCGACCCTTGCCATTATCGAAACGACAACCACTACATTCAGCGACCTGGCCACCACCCCCATAGCAAGCCCCACGCCTGAATGTTTCGCATATCCATCGAACTATGTTCAGAACGGCGATTTTGATGTTCCAAGCTCCGGAACTCCCTTCTGGGATATTACGCAAAGTCCCAGTAATGGCCCGTGGAACTTGACTCGTTGGGGAGCTACTGGAGCTTGGAGTGGATCCGGGGTTGGTGGCACCTGGTCTTTGTCTGCAAAGACATCAACGGGTAATGTGGGCAAGGCACAAGGAACAATATCTATTCGACAGGATGGGATTTTCATTCCTGATGGTACTGTCGTGGATGTTTCCGCATCGTTCCGACCAACACGCTCGGCTAAACACAATTCTAGCGCACCGTATGTGTTTACTTTGAGGTTCGATAACTCCGTCATCGATACTTTCAAGCCAGACACCAAGTCTAGCCAGTATTCCGATTACCGCCGATTGACAAAGACCATGGTGTCTGTTGTCGGAGATGGACCCCACTCGGTCGAGCTTCTAGTCCAGACGAAGGGCAGCGACAACACATGGATTTTTGACGCGGATGATTTCACAATTGCTGCTCGGCATGGGCCTAATCACATGGAGTTATGCAGCTCGCTAATATCATAGAAGGTACATAATTATAGTGCTGATTGCATTTTTGCATACTCAAATGACATTAGTGTTTCACTCTGTTACACCATGAATTTCGCCGCTTGCACAGCATTCAATTAGGCCAGCACCTTAAAGAACCTTTACTAATTACCTAACTACACAGATACCTAAGTAGCATCGCCGTCAATGCTGCCAGGAGTGTCTGCGCAAAGCTCGCGACGTGACCAGCATTAGCTGCGGTGTGAAGCTCGCCCTGCAAGGAACGAAACTTGGATTCTCGAATCTATTACAACTACAGCCGATTTATCATGTTTCTCCTGCTGTAGCCGTTGGCTTATCTGGTTTGCTGCGCGTGCCGAAGCGAGCAGCACGCGCATCTTCCAAATAATCGACTTGCAACGTGATATGTCTACAGCTAAACCTTGACATCGCAGACATGTCATGTATGCTTTCAGTATTCCCAGCGGCTAATCGAACTACATGCAAGATGAGTTGTCTTTCCCCGCCTGAGTTCCCTTACGCCTTTTCCCCGCAACAGCGGCCGTTTGATCTATTCCGGTGAATGCGCCGGCGCAGGCAACAAGAAGGGGAGGAGGGAGATATGCAGAGTGTCTGCATTTCGAACTGACATCTGTAAAACATTGCAACGTCAGGGAAGTCTCTTGCTTCCAATATACTATCGTTTATCAAATGCAGCTTTCTGGAGTGTCGGACGTTAGCATCGCATTCGAGCTTGTGGCCCATACCAACCTGTGCAATTAGACCTTTTTCAGATTTGTCCAATTCGCCTTTCTTCACCAGGTGGTCAGCATGGCCTCCCTCAAGTCTCCATCTCGAATCATTCAACTTGCGACAACGATCCTCGAATCAGTAACAATAATAGATCATGGCCTTGCTTCAGATGGCATTGCTTCACCAACCTTTGACGAAGCTTCGTTCAAAATCCTGCCCGAGTTGTCCGCACATCACGATGCTGTGCTTGATGTCATTTCTGAGCTTCTCGATCTCTTGCTAGAGCCTTTGGATCTGATCCACAGGCATAGCGGCGTAAGTCCTCTCAGCTTATTGCAAGGGTCCGATAGCTGATTGCGAGGCTTGGCTCGCTAGTACAACAATTCGGTATGTATGCAGGCCATTTCAGAGTTCAAAATTGCAGATTTAGTACCACTCCGAGGCCAAATATCATGCGACGACATCGCCACCCAAACGCCAATTACGAGTGAGATGACAGCGCGCCTCCTGAGATACGCCATGACTATGCGTATCTTCCGCGAACCTGAGCCAGGTATGGTGGTGCACACGGCTGTTTCTGAGCCATGCGCCGGTCAATGAATGGCTTCGATCTGGTGCACAGGAAATGTGGCCAGCAGCTGTAAGGTTGGCACCGACTCCATTACGCGCGGCGAACCTCTTGGAAGGCTGATGGTATCGAGATGGTCGAGGCTCTTCAGAAGTGGCCAGCGTCCGAAGAAGTTAATGAGACGGTAGGAAGATTCCACCTCGAGTAAAAAGATCAAGATGACTGAGTGCGCGATCGTTGTTAGGATTATGCATTAGCGAACAACATCTCGGGTGCTATGTACGAGGTTTTCGCTAAAGACATCGAGCGGGGTTCGCGATTCGCAAAAGGCATGCAAATATTCACTGAGCATCCCCAGTTTAGTATTTCCTACGCGACTGATCACTATGACTGGGAAGCTTTGGGCCAAGCTCAGGTTGTAGATGTCGAAGGTTCTCGAGAGTAAGTCTCCCTGGCTTTGGCAAAACGATTCAAACGTCTCAGCTTCGTTGTCTAGGACATGGACAAAGTTGTCGAGAACTTGATACCCCCGGAAGACTTGCAAAAGAGGGCGCAGTTTATGGCCCATGACTTCTTCTCTTCACAGCCAATCCAAGGAGCGGACGTTTACTACTTGCGCTGGATCCTGCACAGCTGGTCTAATAAGTGCGCTATTCTCATACTGCGTCTAGTACCTGCACTGAAGCCAGGAACACGGGTGATACTTCAAGAAACCCTGATGCCAGAGTCTGGCGAGGTAGCTTTGTGGAAAGAGAGGAACCTTAGGTATGTAAAAAACGCATTGCGAATGAGAAGCAGGCACTGACTGACGTCTCTCCGGGGCAGCTGATTTGCACATGGCTGCAGCTTTTAACGCACAAGAGATGACAAAGATTTAGTTCGAAAATTTACTCAAGAAGTGTGACCCAGCTTTTGTGCTTCGAAAGGCTATCGAGCCTGGTGGATCAGCACTTGGTTTACTAGAATTTGTGTGGAAGGGCGTGAAATGAAAAGTCTCGGTCCATCCAGCGTTGCGTTACTCTCGAGTTGGAACAGTTGATTCTTCATCCTGTTTTACTCGCTCTCCACAGGCTGAACCGATTCGTAAATTATCGACGTTCGCGATGTAAGGGATGGAGCACAGGTGGGTTAAAAAATTCCCCTGGACATGACTTTCAACGGTCGTGAAACCTACCAGCACCTGGGCAGTCGCAGCTGACCATGGAGCACTGCACTACTAGACCAAAGACGTGGGTATCCTGGACGCACGACTCAAGCTCATCATGTGATAGCAACACAGTTTGACTTGTCGCAAAAAATGCATAAGGAGCCTCGTGACGAGAAGAACAGGCAATTTGTTTTGTGGAGCATGCAGACGAAAGGAAGGTGTTTCAGGATCGGCGGTGACGCAGCAGCACCTGTCGTGACAACTCCCGCCAAGCCGGCACGTTCTGCGACAAGCCGGTTGGGCGCACAGCAATGCAAGTCGTCTGAGATGGCCATTTTGTACCGCAAGGGCCATTACACGATCTGAACATGTGCACGCAACTCCACAACATGCTAGAAGACAAGGTCGACCGGTACGGACGGTATCAGCGAGTGCAGGGCGGCGCTAGATAATATCCCACTCGCATTCATGTAGGCCGCGGTGCACATGCAAATGCGAGCGCTTTAATCCCTGGTGCCTCAGCCCAGCCGGAGAGACAGCCGAAAGACGAGTCAGCTGATCCGAAGGGCGGTCATTTGTAGTGAGACGAGACAAGCAGTAACTCTATCCTTCTGACAGGGCACATCTCACTCGGACAATGAGGAATGAAAGTTATCTAAAAAAAAATTGACGGCGACGAGTTCTCCGACCGACAGGGTGTCCTTGAATATCTGTTCTGCACTGAAGCAAACACAGTCGACGGTATTTCCGCGAGTGTCTTGCTCACTGTGCAAGAGTATTCATTCGTTACTGTCAAAGACGTGAAAGTACTGGGGATGCACAAGCCTAAGATTGTTAGAACATGGAAGCAAAGACGCTCTCGACAGTCATGTTCACAAAGCCTATATTAGACGCGACTTCAAAGTGAGTGCTCTGGTGCTTTTCTTATCGTCTTTGTTAAAAGGGGCCAATCTGTTGAACCCACACTCGTACACGTAGCAAGGAAAGTTACTTAGCAGATGTAGCTCAGACTGTACGTAGGAAAAAATTGGATTGGCAGAGCTGCGAGCTGACAATGCCCATAAGCTAACCACTAGCATTCGTAATACCAATTGCAATTTCAGCAGTTGCAGTCCCTCTCCCTGCAATGATGAGCTCTAAACAACTCTATAGCTTCAGTTGCGGCCATTGCAAAGACGCACTGAGCACCTGGACGTTTGATAGAGAATGTGCGAGTGTAGCATACATTCCATGTGTTCTACAGAACAAGAGTCTCAGCCCAAGGTGACAGAGATACCTCATCCCCTAATTGCACACTTGATTTCAATGCTTGAAATAGAAAGCTTCTCGGTCTATTGAACAAGATGTTATTCATTAAAGTCACACATCTTTGCATGCATTGTCAGCGCTTGCTATAGAAGGATATGCGACAGAAGCTGCACGCCCCCCATCAACCAGCAAGCATATAGTCTCTGGGTAGCATCTATTACCATCATGAGCTGAGGCCTTCAGCTGAGCCTCGTCGCTGCCTGGCTGGCACTGTTCGTAACAACCAGTCGGCCTTACGTATAGACCAAGCCCGAAAACTCCAAAAAAGGATCCGTATAACAATGCTCGCAATGTGCAGTCGTGCCACTTAGCATACTCCGCGACGGATAAGAGGGTAGCCGTGCGCGGTGTCGCTCCGCCATCGACATTTCCATGACTCGTGAGCTCAGACCATGACCGAAAGCAGTAGTGACACATCGGCAATGCCCCATGGAAGCGGGTACTGACAGATCCCGGGGTTACTCGCAGAGCCTCGCCCTTTCACTTGATCCCTGCTCATTGCATAACTACAGGCTGAAATAATGAAATTTTCTCACTGTCGACCCTGCCAAGCTACACATTCACGGAAAGGCTTGAAAGATGTTACGTGCACGGTGCGCTAAGGGTTATATCCACATGTCTCTTGTACTCGGACCGATTGAACATGGACTCCATGGTATGGGATGAGGAAATGGTGATAGCAGTTATCTGGACCAAAGTGAAGGATTGGAAAAGTACAAAGTGTGAGGTCCAGCCGTCTACATTGTCATTATCCATTCAGTTCTCATCGTCTTCTCCTTCTCAACAGCTCACTTCTTCCTCTTCTCAACGCCTCTCGCTTTACTTTCAAGCTTCGATTCTACAACTTCAAGTCCGTGACTTTTCAATACCATCATGCCTTCCTTCACCACCATCATCGCTGCCATCGCCGGCTGCTCTGCTATCGTCAACGGTGCCGCAGTCCCTGCTAAGAGCGTCGCTCTTGAGGCCCGCGACAACTCCGCCCATGGTCTCGCCAAGCGCGAGCCCGTCATCGCTGCTATTCTCCTCGCGGCCGGTACCGCCGCCGTCAGCGCCGTAGTCACTGAGGCTGTCACCGCTACTGCCGCGTTCATTGGTGACGTCTCGAACTTCGATGCTGCTCGCGAGTCCTTCACTCAGCAGACTACCCGCGAAATGATGGCCAGAAACCCAGACCCTGCCCGTTTCCAAGCTGCGGCCTGCTACAACAATGCTTTTACGGTCGCTGATCCCGCCAACATCGACGGTCAGAACTCAGTCAAATTCAGCCTTGGTCTTCTCAACACCGACTACGAGTGCATGTATATTGCCGCTCCCAACCAGTTCTTCACTGAGGGTGATGGTGGCTTCATCAACGTAAGTCGCGACTACACACATAAACTTATAAGAATCTCTACTAATGCAACCACAGCTTTCGTTCACTCACACTGACCGCTGCACTTTCGACGAGGCTACCGATGATCTCACTTGCGTCTAAGTGACAGAACGTGTAAGGAAGGAGATTGCTAGCCTTTCTTACTCTCTGCGAGAGAATGTAGTTGTTAGATCTTGTAACAGTTATACTTCTGTTACTTTCTCTTATACGAAATCTGCCTAGTATCAGTTTGCGACTTTGTCTCTTTACGCCTAGAAGGCATGCGATAGATCTCATATTCAATTTATCATCAATTTGCTCAAAAATTCATTAAGTTCATTCGTGAAATAGAGGCATGTATAATCAGGAAGAGTGTAATAGACTACCGTCGATATTCCGACGAAGCTCTACTGCCCCGAAAACTACATGTACTAGATAGCTCCTACGCATGAATCGTCGCCTGGAACCGCCTTCGAAATTGAACTTTTGTGCTATCGTTAATACTTTTATAGAGTCTTCGCAGAGATTAGTAGCGATATGGCGAACCGACAGAGTCGCGGCTATTTTCTCCATTGCGAACAAATTTCCCGCCTCTTTTGGCTTCGGATGTAGCTCCGGCTCCCTGCGAAAGATCTGCGCCTTGCATTGTTAAGCCGAGCGGTCCCTCATCAGACCCACCATCAACACTCTAACGTCCCGCGGCCAGCATCGTGCGACGACGAATCGCAAGCCATGTGATTCTGGCCACGTACGCGCCGAAACATGCGCCGGCTTACCCCCACGCTCCGAGGCATCGCGGGACATTTGTTGAGAACCTCAATCAAATCACTCGTCGGTCAACACGACTCTCCGGTCAACGCGACTCTCCTTACTGTACCGCTAGCCATGGCACAGAGAGTTCTTCTTCGACCGACAGGCTTCGCACTCGCGTTGCGTACTCCACGATCATGCCGAAAGTTTAGCACTGTCTTGGACACTCCTGTGTACCCGGTATCTGAGCGTAACACCAACTCTGCGACCCAATCGACAGTGTTCAATGATGCGCTCAACGCTACCGCTCCTCGCACGACCTGGACTAAGGAGGAGATTTCAGAAGTCTACCACACTTCGTTAATCGATCTGACATATGCATCGGTATGTTGAAGCGGTCTTGTTGTGTAAGAGTGTGACCTGATGAACCATTCGCAGGCCACAGTGCACCGACGCTTCCATGACCCTGCCGCTATCCAAATGTGTACACTCTTCAACATCAAAACTGGTGGATGTAGCGAAGACTGTTCGTACTGCGCGCAATCATCTCGATACGACACTGGCTTAAAGGCCACCAAACTCAGTCCTGTGGATGCAGTCCTAGAAGCGGCGCGGGTGGCCAAGGAGAATGGAAGCTCGAGATTCTGCATGGGTGCGGCATGGCGCGACATGCGCGGTCGGAAGACGAACTTGAAGAACATCAAAGAGATGATCAAAGGTGTCAGGGGAATGGGCATGGAGGCGTGTGTGACGCTGGGCATGGTGGATGCTGCGCAGGCAAAGGAGCTAAAGGACGCTGGCTTGACTGCGTACAATCACAATGTCGATACGAGTCGCGAGCACTACCCCACAGTCATCACGACGCGAACATATGATGAGCGCCTCAACACCATCAAGAATGTTCAAGAAGCGGGTATTCACGTTTGCACGGGTGGTATTTTGGGCTTGGGAGAGAAAGCTCGCGATCACGTTGGCCTCATTCACACTGTGGCTACGCTGCCTGCACATCCTGAATCGTTTCCGGTGAACGCATTGGTTCCGATCAAAGGCACGCCTCTGGGTGATACACCGCCAATCCCATTCGATGCATTGCTGAGGACCATTGCGACTGCTCGCCTCGTCATGCCGACTACCATAATCCGGCTCGCGGCTGGGCGTCACACTATGCGGGAAGAGAAGCAGATCCAATGCTTCCAAGCTGGCGCCAACGCTGTGTTCACTGGCGAGAAGATGCTGACCACGGCATGCAATGGCTGGGAAGAAGACAAGGCGATGTTTGCCCGATGGGGACTGAGGCCGATGAAGATGGAAGAAACGATTGGTGAACAGCGCAAGGTGCCAGGACAAGAAGATGCCGAGATGGTCGTGGCCGCTGCGGAAGCTGATGAAACAGCCCGTATTCTTGCCTGAAAAGGTTGCTATGGAGAATACTATGCATAAGTCTATACGATGTCTTGCCAGCTTCTTTGAGCATCACAGCCTCGCTTGCATCCCAGCTTTGCTTTTAGTCTCCTTTTCTCTGTCATGTGACATGTCTTTGCACCACTCCTCAAGCACCCTGACCAAGCTTTCTATCTGCGATACCGTATTTCCTGAGTGTAAGCAAATCCGAACTCTTTCGGTGCCGAATGGTACTGTTGGCGGGACCACAGCTCTGACCATCAATCCGCGGTCTTGCAAGCAGCGCGCTAGTTCTTTCGGCTGATACACTTGGATAGAGAAGATTGGTGACCGTGGACAAGCACTGGGTATCTTCAGCGCGGCGTGAGCGGCGGACGATCTTGTCCGAAGCGCGCCCAATGAAGCAAACAAAGTACGAGTAAGGTGGTGAAGGTTTACTTGCAGGGTAACTGTTTGCCCTGTTTGTAGCAGTGTGTAAGATGAGCGGATGGCGACTAATGCTGGGTAGGCCATGAAGGTTGTGTAAATCAGTGGACGAGCATAGTTGATGAGGTATTCTCGTAACGTGTGAGACCCAAGTATGATTGCTATGTTGAAATTAGCTATGCAGTCTCCAGTCGAAAGGAAGCAGTTAGCCTTACCGCCATTGCTTGCCAATGCTTTTCCGAACGTATGCAGACGTGCAAATACGCGGTCTTCAAGTCCCAATTCACACACCAACCCTCTTCCTCGATGACCTAGTACACCTGTAGAATGTGCCTCATCAATAACGATGTACCCTCTTTCGGACCCAACCAGCTCTTCTACAGCGTTTACGATCTCTTTCAGTGGCGCCAGATCCCCATCCATGCTGTAAATCGACTCCACGGCCACAATTACGCGCCTTTTCTCCCGTCTCAAAAGTACATCTTCATCCACAAGATCTTGCAGAACTTCCCTGAGATCTGGGACCGAGTTGTGCTTGAATGCGATGGTTTTACCCGCTCGCGACAACCGCATGCCATCGTGTACACTCGCGTGCACAAGCTCATCGTACACGATTACATCGCCTGGCTGTGGCACACAAGCGAAGAAACCCGCATTTGCATCGAAGCCGGAGTTGAACAGCAAGCCTGCTTTTGCGCCATGGAATTGCGCGATATCCCGCTCCAGAACCTCTGCGTATGTCGAATTGCCGTCTAGAAGGCGCGAGCCTCCACTGCCTTGCGGTAGCTTAGAACTTGCCAGTTCTTCCAAAAACAATTTTTTGAACTGCGCAGATGTTGCGAGGGATAGAAAGTCGTTGGATGAGAAGTCTACCTGGTTGGCAAGAGGAAGCGTCAATTTGCGCAGTGTCGAAGTCGTACGCCGGCGATCGAGTAAGTCCTGCAGTCGCTTCTCCAACTCCGTCTGAGACTTGCCTTCCATTGTTCTGTCTGGCTTCCCTTCCAGATGGGCCACTTGATATGGCGACATCTCATCACCGCAAACCTCGATGCATGACAGTTATGATGAGTAACACTATTCCAGGGTCCCGTTAGTGCATCCCGACAGTCTGGGTGGTCAAGTGTCATCGGAGAGTACTCCGCACCATCCGCATTGCAAGGGTGACGAGTTAGGTTAAATTAACTCAATTTGTCCACAAATCTGCGCGGGATGCTTCACGGAATGTTCCATTAATGGTCGCAAGCTTCGCTCAATTTGGGAGCGACGTCGGCTCAAGACCTTAAGACCTCGGCTTAGTCGTGAGCACAACGTCCCGCTTGCACAGTCGTGCTGGAGTAATAAGATAATGCAGTGAAAAATGGCGAGAGTGCCAGGAGGGTTGTGGAAGAAGCTCGTTGCCGTGCAGATTTACGGTGCAAACACCGGTGTCGGCAAAACTGTCTTCTCTACACTGCTCGGCGCGCATTTTGGGAGAAGAGCGGGTGCGAAAAAATGGACTGTGCGGTACATCAAGCCAGTATCAACTGGTCCTGAGAATGAAGCGGACGATAGGTGCGACCGCTAGAGGAAATATTCGTAAGCAGGAAGAACGTTGTAGCTGATGTTGTGCAGTTATGTCCAAAGGTACAGCGGCCATAAAGTGTCCACACTCTTCAAATTCGACGATGCTGTAAGTCCGCATGTCGCAGCGAGGAAGGCAGCTCGAATTCCCGCAGACGAGCACATCAATCAAATTCTCGCGAAACACCTCCAGGATGAAGCAGACGCAATCGCAGCGCAGCAAGATGCCATGGGTGTCGCGCTCATCGAGACCGCCGGGGGTGTGCTCAGTCCAGGACCATCAGGGACACCGCAAGCAGACCTCTTCCGACCAATGCGACTCCCCACAGTTCTCGTAGGTGACCATCGCCTCGGTGGCATTGCTGCAACAATCTCAGCCGCCGAATCACTCATCATACGCGGCTACGACCTCGACGCCGTTGTGTGCTTCGACGATCAGAGTAAGTACGAAAACGCAGAGTACTTGAACCAGTATTTTCAGAAAATGGCCATCCCGACTTTCACTCTCCCGTGGATTCCGAATCTGGACGGCATACTGCTGGGTTCGAAACAAGAGCAAGAAGTCATGCAAAAGTACTACACCTCGCAGAGCCAGACCGAACACACACATCTCGTAGCCGAACGCATCATCCACCGCCACACCTCCCGCCTCGCAGATCTAGACTCCATGTCCGAGCAAACCAAATCCGCTATTTGGCACCCTTTCACGCAACACAAACACACCGCCAACGACTCCGTTCTCGTCTTTGACTCCGCATACGGTGATTACTTCCAAGTAGCCAGCACCGACAAGGACTCGGCCCTGTACCCTGCCTTCGACGGCTCTGCATCATGGTGGACCCAAGGTCTCGGGCACGGCAACCCGCACCTCGCACTCGCTGCTGCATACGCGGCCGGACGATACGGCCATGTCATGTTTGCTGGGGCTACGCATGCGCCTGCCCTTAGACTCGCACAAAAACTGCTTACCAATCTTGAGAATCCGCGCTTGGAAAAAGTGTTCTACACAGACAACGGCAGCACGGCGACGGAAGTCGGGATAAAGATGGGGCTGCGCGCGGCATGTAAGCGGTACGGCTGGGATGGTGGGAAAGAGCAGGTTGGCGTGTTGGGCCTGAAGGGGAGTTATCACGGCGACACGATTGGCGCGATGGATGCGAGTGAGCCGTGTGTATTCAACGAGAAGACTGATTGGTATCGCGGGAGAGGGTATTGGTTCGATTATCCCACGTACAAGATGAAGAAAGGGAGATGGGTCGTTGAGAATATGGGCGAAGAGAAAAGCTTCGCGAGCCAAGATGAGATATTTGATCTTGGGAAGAGGGGGGATGAAGCGCGAGCTTATGAGGAGAGGATTGAGAAGACGCTGGATAAGCTAGTCAAAGAAGAGGGAAGGAAGTTTGGCGCGCTCATAATGGAGCCGGTGATCTTGGGTGCGGGCGGGATGCTCTTTGTTGATCCGCTGTTCCAGCAAAGCCTCGTGCGTGTTGTGCGGCGGTACAATTTTGCATCCACCACTTTTCCCACCTTGCCAGACGAGCACGCATGGTCCGGTCTCCCAGTCGTATTCGACGAAGTCTTCACCGGTCTTAATCGACTTGGGCGCTTCTCCTCGGGATCGTTCCTCGGCGTTCATCCAGACATCAGTGTTCACGCCAAACTGCTCACCGGTGGTCTTCTTCCGCTGGCTGTTACAACCGCAAGCAAATCGATCTTCGACGCGTTTTGGGGCGAGGAGAAGTCTCAGGCTCTTCTGCACGGACACAGCTATACTGCGCATGCGGTTGGGTGTCATGTCGCTAATACCAGTTTAGATGCTGTGGAAGAGATCAAGAATGGCGGTGGGTGGCAAAGCTTCATTGAGGAGTGGCAAGCGCACGACGTGGAAAGACCTGTATCGTCGATTGACGAAGGGCTTTGGAGCATGTGGTCGAAGGATTTCGTGAAACAAGTTTCCAATCACCAACGCGTGGACTTTGTCAATGCGCTGGGTTCTGTGTTAGCAGTGTCTTTGATCGACGGTTCTGGCTCAGGTATGCCCCATCTTCCCTCTACTCATATCTCCTACTAACGATATGTAGGTTACACATCATCCGCATCCGTTGGCCTGCGTGATGCTCTGCTGCACAAAGCTTCCGCGTCATCCATTCAGATCCATTCGCGCATCCTGGGCAACGTCATTTACCTGATGGCGAGCATGACGGCGAAACCTGCTCATTTGGCAGATGTGGAGAAAGCATTCTTGGAAAAGCTGGGTCAGTCATAGCCACGTAGGAAGAGAGCGCTGCGCAAGTGTGACGAGTTTCAGTCATGATTATTTATTTTTTCATCTGCCATTGAGATTCTCCCTCATCATTTGTATGTACGGTGAGTTCCCACATGCATATTCATTTCCGTTCTCCAATCAAAAGTCCTGCCCAATCCTTGCGAGCAGACTTCAGCCCAAGTCAGGTGGCGTCGTCGGACAGGTACATCTGCATTCTCAGAGAATGGCTTGACCCTCAAGCTGGGTTGCACTTAATACCACACTCCCGGCAGTTCGGGTTCTTCTTCCAGCTGCAGTTGCAGCTGTTCTCGCAGCCTGCGTCACCATCGCACATCTTCTTGCAGGTCTTGATGCTATGCTCGCAGATGACACAAGGTTCCGGGATGCGTTTTGAGAGTTGATGGCGAGGGAGGTGAGAGGTGTTGCTAGGAATGGCACACACGGCACAGCCGCTGCGCTCGTTCCAGGGGCTGCATCGCTTCTCGCAGTCAGCGTCACCTTTGCACATCTTCTTACAGAGCCTGGCGGCAGTATTGCAGATGATGCAACGGCGCGAAGATTTGTCGTCGTTGACATGTCGAGGGTCTTCGGAGCGTGGCTCCTCAGAGCGAGGGTCTTCAGAACGGCGAGGATCCTCGGAGCGCGGGTCTTCAGATCGACGTGGATCCTCAGAGCGGCGAGGGTCTTCAGAACGAGGATCTTCCGAGATCAAGCCAGAAGCGGGAGTTGCGACGTGGAGCTCAGCAGCCTTGGGACAGTTCTGAGGCGCCTCGACGCATCCTGTGGTCACATTAGCACACTCCATCAACGCATGAATCTCGCAAACATACCAGCATGGCGGCACCAGAGTCCCGGGTTACCAAAGCGGTCGCAGTTGCAGCCGCGCTTAGCTTCCTCGGTACCACCGTGCTCCTCGACGCACTTGAGCCACGGCTGATGGCAGTAGTGGTCGCACTGCTCGGGAGTAGGAGCAGCGATAGTGCGGGCTTGAGGGGAGATGACTGCGGCGGTGGCCAGGGCGAGAACGCTGGTGGCCGCGAGGAGGAGGGAGTTGAACTTCATGATTGCTGCTCGGTTGGAGACAATTGCGAGGTGGTGGAAATAGAGAGAAACTCTAGTTGGTGAGGTAGAGTTGAGAAGAGGGAGGGGAAGGGAGAGGGTTTATATAGCAGGCTGAGGTGAGAGAGCGAGCGGCAGGTGCTGGGTCAGTGCGTAAGTTGGAGGAAGGTGCGGGTGAGGCACGACAGACAAGCGGAGCAGAGAAGAGGTGAGAGTGAGAGAAAGCGCGCGGGGCTACAAGCGAAGTCGGCGTGCTTGAGCGGGCAAGTCGATAGTCTACATGGCACATACACATGGAGAGTGAGATGGGCTTGACTGACTGCGAAGAGACTTTCTGCTCGAGGGTGCTGAGTGTACGGGGATTGAGACTTGGATTGAGGACGACGTGCTCTGTGAGGCACATGTTAAACTGGTGGTATCACCGACGAGCAAAGTACTCGAGGTGGGTCAGCTTCCATGTGCTTCGAAGTCTACAGACGATGATTCGAGCACTACGAGAAGGAGCGCCGGTAACGCGGCCGGAATCAGCCCTACGAAAAGGAGTGAACCTTACGGCACGACTTCTCCCCCAGGCGTGAGCAAGCTGAGGCCAAGGTAGGTCGCTTGCAAGAACGGAAGAGCCCTACGATATGTATACAGCACGAAAGTGAGATAAATTGACGAGAACCCGGAGATTTGTTTCGAAGGAGGAAGGTGTCTTCCATGCTACATGTGATGATATCAGCATCAGACATGTTCTTGACCAAATAAAAGTGAGTGAGTACACGGTCACGGTACTCCTGTGAAATAAAACATTACTTTTGATTCAATGTGGGAGTTGCTCAAATGCGTGACTGAAAGAAGGAGAACAACGACGAGAAAGATGACTCGAGGCGTCCGAATCAGACAAGAACCACCCTCCTGAGAATCAATCCGTCATCAACGAGCAAAGGGTAGTGCGTCGCATGAGTGACTTTCTACCATGGAAACCCACTTGACATTGGATGTAGAATGAAGACTAAGAGTGGAAGACTAAATCTGCGTAGCATTCTGCTCAATGTAACCCAAAATAAGATTCTTTGTCTACAGATCCTATATGTCAATAAGGTGAACTGTGGGAAATGGCTGATGTCTACTCGTGAGACGATGCGTTTGGCGGAAGTTGTGGCTGGGCGCCTAAAGCTTCGACCCCGCTTCATGGCGCTCTCACGCAGAAAGACTGCCCCAGCATCGGGCGTCTCACAAGCCGATGTGGATAAGACTGAAGCTTGTATATATCAGCGCATGTCTGCACGTGTAGATGACTCATAGAGATCTGCAGGGCTTAGTCAGTGCGATTATCAGAAGGTGGCAGCCTGATGTGACGGCAGAGACAACATCTCGGAGTTTACGGCGCTTGGCCTTGGACCTGCAATAGTCGGGACCAACACGCACCTACACCAAATCTCTTTCACCATTATTACCGCCTGCCAGCGAGTGTCGCCAGGTCGAGCGCGCACAGTTTTTGTGTAATTGGGCGCCTTGCAGGAGCGGAAACGTCATCACGAACCGGGCGCTACGTCAGGAAGCAGGAAACAACCGTGAAGGGTATCTGCGCGCATTCCACGACCCGCCATACATTGGCTGATAGAGTGCAGCGCAAAGCGCGGACCGTACCCTTGGATGCGACAAGTCTCGACTGAACTTATCGAGGCTTTTGTCTGAGCACAGTCCAAACTGCCGCGCCGCACTGGACACTCGATCGCACACCCGACGAAACGAGCTGAGCGACAACGCGCAGGAGGCACGGATTGAAGACTTGAAGTGCGAACACACCGTGTGCCACAGCCGCTAGGAGAAGGGACCTCGGCGCGTCACGTATCACGGGACCACGGTTCCAACAACCAGACATAGCACACCAGAGTGTGGAGGGGTCCGATAAGACGCAAGATGCCTCCCACACCACCGTCGACGACGTCGTCAAGCGCGGGACAATCGCCGCCAGACCCGCAGTTCAGAGTTGTGCGCAAGAGGAACCGCGTGCCTCTGTCGTGTGGACCATGTAGGCACAGGAAGTAAGCGACCAGCGCGACCCGCACGTGAAGAACACGACGCTGACTGCGACAGGCTGAAATGCAATCGCGGCCCATCCTTGCGACAACTGCACCAAGCGAGGAGACACGGGATCATGTACGTACGCGACTCCCGGCAACCGCAAGAAGAGCGCCGCGAGCGCTGGGTCGGCCACTTCTCCCGACGACATGCAAAACCGCATTGACCGCCTCGAAGGACTGGTGCTGTCGCTGATGACCAATGGCGCGCAGAGTGCGGGGCCTGCAGCAGCGCAGGCCGCCATTGCTCAGAGCATGAGCAGCGGCTCGTCGGAACAGCAGTACGAGACGGCTCACATGGGCAGCGCAATGAGCATCGCCGCCCCAGAGTCAATTCCCGAAGAGGACGCCGAGGACGAGAGCGAGATGGAGAACGTGACCAAGTCGATCGGCGTCATGAAAGTCCACAACAATGCGACCATCTTCGCGTCCGAGGCGCATTGGTACGCCATATTGGGAGAGGCAGGTCGCAGCATGTCCTTGGGGCCTATCAGTGGCTAACCATGTCCAGATCTCCGAAGTCAAAAACTACTTCGCCGAGCACAAGAAGCAGTACGACGACCAGCTGAAGCGGTACAAGGCAAGCCACAGCGACGAGAACCCACCGGGCACCTCCTTCTTGTATGGACAGCGCAAGAACACATCCAAAGCCGAGATCCTCTTACAGTTTCCGCCGAAGCCGACTGCAGACATCCTCGTGTCGAGATTCTTCAACACATACGACCCGGGCATCCACATCATACACGGGCCGACGTTTCAGAAGGAGTACGACAGGCATTGGCTGAATCCAGACGAGACGCCCATCATCTGGCTTGGTCTGGTCTTCGGCATGATGTGCATAGCACTGCAGTCATACACGCGAGCGGGAGATGAGCCGCCTGAGTACCACAACAAGTCATGGGAAATGTCCAAGGAGTACCGAGACTTGACGGCGCAGTGTCTGGTCATGGCAGATATCACACAGCCCATCAGCGGCATGCTCGAGACGCTTATTCTGCACGTCCATGCCGAATACGCGCGGAGCAGAGACGCCGAAGTTGGCATCCTCATCAGCACCGGCATCATTGTGCGGCTGGCCATGAGAATGGGCCTGCATCGCGACCCGGGCCCATATCCTGGCATCTCTGTCTACCAGGGAGAGATGCGCCGTCGAGTGTGGGCAGCCATTCGCTCCATCGATCTGCTCTTCTCGGCACAAGCCGGTCTGCCTCCAATTGTTCGACCACGAGACACCAACACCGAGATCCCACGCAACATCTACGATGACGAGCTAATCGAGGATATGAAGGCACTGCCGCCATCGAGGCCAGAAAGCGAAGCCACCCCAGCACTCTTCTTGATCAACCGAACACGCCTCATCTACAAGCTTGGAGAAGCTGTCGAAACCACCGAAACCCTGACATGCGCGACATACGAAGAGATCATGCGACTCGATGCTGAGGCGCGAGAACTGCACGAGAACATATCCCCACATCTGAAGATGCGGTCCATGGACGAGGCGGCAAGGGATCCGTCGACGCTCATCATGCAACGCTTCACATTGGACTTGCTGTACCTCAAGATAATATGCGTACTGCACAGAAAATTCCTCGCTTACGCTCGAGTACACTCACGCTTCAGCTATTCGCGGACGGCTGTCATTGATGCTTCCATGAACCTTCTCCAACACCAAGCAACGCTGCACCGAGAATGTCAGCCCGGAGGTCGGTTACGCAATGTCAAATGGTTCATCTCGTCCTTGACTACCGTCGACTTCTTGCTCGCTGCCATGATCATCGCATCAGACCTTTACCACACGATCCGATGCCGACGCCAGCCCCGGCCCGAAGAGGCCAACATGCACCTCTGGAGCTCAGAGAAGATCGACGAGATGATCGATGCGATAGATACTGCGGTGAACATCTGGGACGGTCTCAAAGACCACTCCATGGAGGCCTACAAGGCACACACGACGCTCAGTGTGATGCTGAACCAGCTCAAGGCTGATCGTCCAACAAGACAGCCTCAGCACAATGGCTTCCAAGCCGCAACATCTGTTTTCCCGCAGCCGTCACCCATGGACGAGTCGAATGTCGCTCCTGAGCATTCAGCAGCGATGACGCTAGGCATGCTAAGCACAGGCGGCATGACACCTGGTTCAGCAAACATGTTCGACCAGCGATACCCAGCATCCATGGCGAACCTTTTGAATGACCCTATGCCTCAACCATCTTCGGGTTTGACGCCGCAGTATAACGGACAAACCAGTGCTCCAGGCGTTGAGAGTGCTGCCAGTCCGTTCTCGAATCTCTTCGGTGCGAATCTTTTCCAGAATTTGGACCTGCCACCAACCGACAACCTCAATTGGGTAAGTCTGCACCGATTTCTTTTCTATTAGACAATCATACTTACGATCATAGGATGCATGGGATTCCTACATCCAAGGTCCGACAGGCGGCATCGACACGACGCAAAACTTCTTCCCCATGGATCTCGGCTCGATGCCCATGCAAACAGACCCTAGTGGCCTGCCCAACGATTTGGCGGCGACCAACGGTCAGGAGACGCGTACAAATGCGTTTGGTCAAACTGTCTTCATGGGTGTAAGCGATCTATTTCCGCTGCAGCAAGTTTGATCAATAGACTCGTATAGCTAACCGTTGCAGGATGATCAAAAGGCTGGTACTTCGGGCGCGGGATATGCGATGGGGTACATGTTGCCGAAGACGAGTTAGTGACGGTGTTCTAGAGACAATTGGAGGAGAGAAAAAGGTTCTTATGATATACGCTGGAATGAGCACATGCATGTACGATTGATATGCCTTGTCACATGTCTGCTAATTTGGGGGCCAAAAATACGAGCGCAGCGTGAACACTACACGATACCTTATTCAACTCAATCTATTTAGCCATGTTAGGCCACATTTACATCTCAATCAAAACGATACTCCTCATACGCCTCGGTTCCTTGACTTCAAAGACAGCAAAAGCTGGTTCTATTCATAGCTCAACCCCACCTGCAAGGCTGATCGCGTGCCCCGCCTTGGGCTCTAGAAACGAGGCGCGCGTATCGCGAACTTGTGCTGTGCTTACGCGCCCGGCGCTTTGTTTGACCGTTGGCTCGTTTGCTTCTTCTGGACTCGACAGCCTGAGGTATCATCCATCCTATTACTCTGTCCAGCTTCACCATCCTTCTTACGCTCAAATCCTCGCCTCCGCGAACTACCCCAGAATCAAGGCCCCGCGCCCGCCCGACTCCAACACCAGTGCTAGCCTTCACTCCACGCATCCTCAAATAAGCCACGGCCAACTTAAAACCATGGCCGACCCAACACCCATATCCCCAATCCACCGCACATCCACATTTCCCCACAAAACCTCGCCGGCTGTATCCACCCAAACCCCGCTCATAAACACAGACACGCCCGCCATCAACGCCGGCGCACCCGTGGAACTTCCTGCGGACGAAGTTGCCAGCATACCACCAGGCCAACATGAAGTGGTGGGAAGGAAGGCGGTCGAGGAAGAGGTCATGAAGAAGAGATTGCAGGATCAAGGTGTTATTGTGGATGTTGGAAAGGAAGGGTTGAGCGCGGAGGAAGTGAGAGCGGCGACTGCGAGGAGAGAGAGGCCACAATGATTTGGAGATGGAGATGAGGAGCTTTGGATGGGAGAACAGGAAGTGAGCAAGCACATGCGCATGCGTTAGGATATACCACCGAAGACTTGTATTGCACGAATTGATTTCATTACAGCATACCACTCCTCCGTTTCCATCTCTGCGCCCTCTCTTTCCTGTCTATTCCCCATTTAAACCATCAGTGTAACAACGACAGCAACAACGACGACAACAACGATGACGGCGAGCACGATGCCTCCGATCAAGAGCCACTTGCGTCGCGCCTGGGCTGGGGTGCGTGCTTCGACGCGTGGAGGGAGGGAGGGAGAAGACATTGTTTCTGGGGCGGTGTTAGTCGAGGAAGAGACATATAGGATGGGGATTATGCTGACTAGGGTTGGTGGGTTGAAGTGGCGGTGTTGCGATAATAATATAGGATGCCGTTGTTCAGCTGCGATATCGGTCGGCCTGGAGGGACAGATATGTGATGGTATTGGGCAAGGAGACTCTTGAATGTCGCGAGGCTGGATGTTATTTGATATTGATGAGTGGTATGGATTAGAGTACTCCAAAACCTCCTTCCTTTTCCTTCTTTTCTACTATTTCATCACTTCGAGCTCAGCCTTGCCCGTCTTCACCCTGGTAACACTGAGTCTGCTGAATTCCCTGATGACCTACCATCAGCCTTGCTCGCCTCCATCCTACGAATACCGAGTCTCCTACCCTGGGCGCCCTGTGTGTTTTGCGGACCTGAGTACATAGACTGGTCGCCTGAAGGCCAGCTTGGGCCGCTTTACTGGCTGGGCTCATACACCGGCCTCTTGTGGGTTCGTCCGACCGTCGGAGGGAGCCTCGCTCCGCCGGGACCTGCCATTGGCATGGTGATTCGGTGACGAAGGGCCGTGGCTGAGGGCGTGTCACTTGTACGCGACGAAGGGATGTGCATGTCAAAAAAAGGTCGTGATTGTCATCTACTTGAAATGAAAGACTTAAGTAGGGCTTTGAGAACAATTTTATATGTTTAAAGAAAGCCGTGATTAAGTCTCAATATGAGCACCCTTCAGAGAGTCAATTCTAATCCTAAGCGCTCCCTGATGCTTTGCCCACAGCCCCACCTTCTACACGCGCCGCCTGCGCATCCCACGGCATCATCTTCTCCACCTTCGCATCCCACTTAAACACCCCTCCCACCCCAACATTGTACTGATAATAATTCTCCGTACCGCCCTTCACCATCGCCTTCCTGAACGTAATATTGATCCTCCCCTTCGCATCCGCCCGCTTCGGAATACTATGCAGCCAATTACTCTGCGTGCGCCCGCGCATCAGCACCATATCGCCCGAGCCCAGCGGCAGCTTGATGCCCTTGGGCTCCTCGACGACGACACCGGCTTGCGGCGCGATGGGCTTGTGCTTCAGCAGGAAATCGCGCTTTGCGCCTAGACTGAATGATGCGATGGCTGGGTTGGGTCCGAGGAAGCGCTCGTCGTCCGAGTGGTACGAGATGCTGTCCTTGCCGTCGGCGTAGTAGTTTACGAGGCAGAAATTGAACTTCTCGCCTGTTGAGCCTTCCGTGAGTTTGCGCAGTTCGTCAAGGCACTGCGGAATCGGGCGCGGCTTGCACTTGCATGCTTTGGCGTCGACCTTCTTGCCTGTCTTTGCGTCGACGATGCTTCCATCGGCGGCGAAGCTGGATGTCTCATCGATGCCGAAGACGGTGGTGAAGCGCGGCGTGTTGATTTGCGTCTGCACGCCACCGCGGTTGATGTTGTATTGCACGCGGTAGAAGGGGAGTTCTTGTCGCAGGAACTCGAAGAGACCTGGTGCCATTGAGGCTGGTATGTATGGTTGGTAGTATACCAAATCGAGGTCCAGCTGATCGTTCATCACTTTTCCCTCTTCTGCGGGTGCAAAGCATAATTGCTCCTTAAACGGCGGAGGCAAGTGCGGGATCGCGAACGGATAGGCATTATGCTGTGACTTATCTTTGCTTGCCTCGTACTTCGGTTTCTTTGCTTCGGAGGGCTTGAAGAAAGAGTCGAGTGCGCCACGCTTCATCACCGCTGTCCCGATGCGCTTGATCTGCCACTCACGATTAAGCTGACTTCCCACACGAACGGTGACAAGATGACGCACCGCCCTCCGAAAGATGAATGATACGATAGTTGATCTATCTACCGGGCCTTCACGCGGCAAAATGAACAACTCTGCACTCTCGAGCTCGATTTGACCAGGTACAATAGGTCTTTTGAAACGGAAAACTTGTAACGGTAGTTTGAAAGCTCTTGCAGGTCTTGCGCTTCCAGTCCCACTCTCAACGCAGCCTGTTTACCGTTCGCTTTGTATGCAGACCAGAGTCCTTCAGCAGTGTTCCAGAGTGGCTGTGGTGGAGTATAGGGTGGTGGTGGATTAGCGATGCCACCCTCGGCATCAATCACTCTACGTGGCGATCGAAGAAGATGAAGACGCTGGTCCAATGCTCGATAATGTCGCTGTAGACTTGCGATGATTGTAGCGCGATGAAGTTGGCGCGCACGAAGGTTAGCAAGAGCTTGACCTTGAAGTCGGGTCTGGCTTTGAGTGAGTGGACGACGAGGCGAAGACACCATTGTTGCGAAGGCCTTCGAAGATCGATGACGTAGGCAATTAGTTAAGGTTTGTAAGCTCTAATTAGTAGAGCAAAGAGAGATAGTAGTATAATAGTAGTATAGGCTTACTAGTAAGAAGCTATAGAAATAAAATAGAAAGAGAAAGTTAGAAGCTTATATATCTTAGCTTTTAGAGCTTACTAAGCTAGTTCTTACTAGTTTTAGCTAGTTAGAGTTAGTATTATTTTAGAAAAAAGTAGAATTATGCTATAAGCAGCAGATATATATAACGTAGTAGAGTTATAATAAAGAAAGATAATAGAATAGGCTATATATCTAAGATCTTAATATAGTAATAAGTAACGTAGTTTATAAGTAAGCGCTATATCTAAGTAAGCGCTGTACTTTTTTCTAGAATTACTCTTTCTATCTTAACTCTAGAAGTTCTTTATATAATATAGATATTATTTTAGATTTAGAAAGCTCTATATTAAGGCTTTCTAAAATATTAAAGACTTTCTAAATAGGCCTAGTATTACTAGAGTTAGAGCTAAGTAAAGTAACATAGCTTACTTAGCTTTTAACTCTAGTAATATAAGCTATACTTTAATATATCTCTTTCTAACTTTAATATAGTATAGATTATATAATATAGTTTATAAGTAATCTATTAAAACCTATCTTTAATAGGTAATAGAACTAATATAGATTTCTATATTAGTTCTCTAAGAAACTCTAAATCTTTAGATATTAGTTCCTAGGTTTAAGAAAACTAATAGAACTAATCTCTAAATAATATTTAAATTAACTGCAACTTAAGTATAAGATATAGAAAATTAATACATATTAAATATATTAAGTCCTATAATAATCTAACTAACGTGTTATAAGATATATAATAAAATATATTATAGTTATAGTATTTATTAGAGCAGGCTATATACGCGAAGACTAGAGTTTTATAAGATTCTAGTAGCTATATAAGACTTATATAAGTTACCTAAAGGATATTTATATATAGGTTAGTGCTAGTGTAGAAGTAATATTACGTAATACTATATTATAAAGCATGCATAGAAGTATATATATAGAAGCTAATATTTATATAAAGATATAGAGATTACTATAGCGCAGATAGTTTAAGTAGCATTAGTAATCTTCTCTATCTTAGCTATAACTATAGAGCCTACTTTAATATAGAGTATCTTTATCTATTTTACTCTACTCTTCTACCTTTCTAGCTCTACTTAGATCTTACTTAATAAGAGTAAGATGCTAATCTACGTCTACTCTAGAGTTTTAGCTACTACTATACTACTAGTAGAAAGGCTAGCACTATTCTTAGTAACGTGCTTCTTATTCTTAATAATAAAACTCTAGTAGCTCTAAATAAGAATATAATTATAAGTATATAGACCTAATTAAGCTTAGGCAAGCTTAGTATAGCATACGAAGATATTGCTAGTATAGCTAATATAGTTATATATATTAGATATAGAGTAGATTTAAGCTATTTAGATAAGCTACTAAAAAGTTATAGCATTAAAAGCAGCTTACGCTAAGAAGCGTTAACTAGTAGATAAGCTAAAGTTATTGCTCTTGCTAATATTACGCATAGCATTATGTTAAAATCTATTAAGTAGCTAATAATAAGATAGCTAGTATTAAAGAGCTTAAGTTAGTTTTCGCAGATAGAGTAAAGTGCTACTAGATATAGAGGTAGAGTATACTAAGATAATAAGAATAAGCTTCTATAAAGAGTATAATATATTAAGTAACTTAAAGTATAAAGTTAAAGATACTAAACTATAAGAGTTTATTATCTTCTCTATATACTAATTCTATTCTATATATCTTATGCTATCTTACAGCATTTATAAGTATAGAACTTATTAAGACTTATAAGATTACTAGAACTTTATCTTATTATCTTATATTATGCTAAGAGTTACTTAGCGCATAAGACTATAAGACTAGTTATATATTCTTTAATAGAGCTTAGTATAGATTATTTCTTACTCTGCAGCAGAGCTACCTAGCTATTTCTTATCTTATATCTCTTAAGTTATATTACTCTCTACTTCTAGTTTATAATACTATCTTTCTCTCTTTATTCTTATATTCTTATAAGCTAATCTTTATATTATCTTATAGTACTAAGTACTATTATTATTAAGAAGATTATATTAATTAGATTAGAGTGCCTAGTATAGTTACTTATATATATTATATTAAAGAAGTAAAGCCTATTCTTAAGTCTATCTATATTTCTAGTAGAAATACAGAGCTTAGCTAATTAGAATAGGCCTTAGTAAGGCGCTATGTTATAAGAATGCATTATAGAAATAAATAACCTTCTAGAAAGAAATAATATATTTCTAAGAGGCTATATTCTGCAGAAAGGTACGCTAAGCTTAGATCTGCACTTAGAACTATAATAGTATTAAAATTTATTATAATATAGGCATTTAAAGTTAGAGAGTTTACTTTAGTAAGAAACTTTAAAACTTAAGCTACTACTCTATTCTTAATAGGTAAAAGAACAAGGGTTAGAACAGAGCTTATTCTACGAAAATTTTAGATTCTAGAGAGTTTATTCTATAAATAACATAGAAATATAGAATAAAGGCCTAAGTCGTTATAAATTTTAATACAACTTAAGCTAAAGGTGCAGTAGAGTTAGCGCTATTAATTATACTATTTAGAATTTTTATGCGATATTAGCGCGTTGTAATGCATATTAAGATATATATTAATATTAGCGTTTCTTAGAGTTGCAAAAATAGAGCTGTATAGACTACTAACCTAGAGTTATAAACCTTAACATTAGAGTTTCTGTGCCTAATCTAAGCATTAGAGTAACTCTAATAGCTAGGCTAAGCATAATAATACTGTAATGCTGCGTGCTATAAGCATGCAATGTCTAGTAACCTTAGATACTAATATACAGAGAGTATACTATAACTTACTAGCAGTATATAATTATCGCTTGCTGCAAGGCTCTATAGATAGAGTTTATAGATATTTATAATAAAATAATTTAATAGTATTTTTAAGTATTTGCTACTATACTGCATAGCTATATGCAAGAGCTATGCGCAGAGTATTATCTAGTTATAGTTAGCAGCCTACTTAAATACTAAGACACTTAGAACTAGTCTCTAACACATAGATAGCTATTATTTGCGCTATGTAGGATAAGGCTTCGCTGTAGTAGTAGGCATTTAATAAAGGCAATATTATATATTCTAGCCTAGTAACTAGGCTACTGCTACACTTGCCTATATATACTAATAGACTATAGTATTAAGAGTGTAGTTGCATATATTGCTACTTAAAAAGAATACAGGCATACTGCTATAAAGAGCATATATAGACTAGTAGGCAACCTAGCAGCAGTTAATAGAAGTGCGCACCTACTATATAGATAGAAGGCATTAAGTGCTAGAAGTACTATAATACTAGCTATCTAAGCTAGTTATTTAAAGTAGATAGCATAGCAGAGCTATAGGCTTTAAAGTTCTATGCAGAGACTATATTTAACGTTATAGTCTAAATAACATTATTGCAGATAGCAGCTAATAACGACGCAAAGCTATAGAGCACTGCTATTAAAGAAGATACAGACTGCTATAATTATAGTAGATAGTTAAAGCAAGCAGAGTAAGCGCGTTACTTAAAGAGATTAAAGAGAAGCTAGCTACTAGAGACTATATAAGAGCTAATGCTATAAGAGCGCGCATTATTAACTATATATTAGGCTATAAAGATAGTATTATAGCATGCTTAGCAGGCATTAACTTTAAGTATAGTTAGTATGCCTGCGATAATATATATTAACTAACGTAAATTTAGTAATACGTTTAATAATAAGCTATTTAATATAAGCTAAATAGGCAAGACTATGCTAAAGTATAGCAGCATATAGGTTTAGATTATTACGTATATATAGCGCACGCACGCATTGCCTATAGTCTAGCCTAAATGCAGCAAAGACAACGATAATAATAATAATAAGAATAAGAAAGAGAGCAGATAGCTACTATACTGCATAACTACTTAGTAGAAGAGATGCTTAGAGTAGCTGCAGAAGCTTTAGAAGTAGAATTAGATAGAAGAAGACTAGTTTAACAACAGCGCTTCTAACTATAGCAACTCTAAGCTGCTAGATAAGTAGTAGAAGAAAGAGCTCTAGCACTATATGCATAAGTTAATATTATTACTGCTTAATTAAGAGCTAAGAGATAATAAGTACTTAAGTGTATTAATTAGCGCTATAGCTATACTAAGCATTAGTACTATAAGCAGGTAGCTAAACCTATTAGCATATATCTCTAAGCAATCTACTATTATTACTATATTATGCATGCTTATATTATACTAGTCTATAAAGATACAGAAAGCAGCAATTTAGAAACTAGTAGAAAAGAGCTATAAGAAGAAGAAGGCTGCTAAGTTAGCGCTAAGTTA